GAGCGGTTAGGCCAAGTGAGTGCATATTTATGTATGCGCATCATGGTGGCCACTTCCACGGCGTGATCCCTCCATTTAGATTGGGCGTGTGTATATATATCTGTGTGTGTCTGTCTGTGGATGTGTGCCTTCATAACTCACGAAGTGGCAGACTTTGGGGTCCTCCAGCCACACGACCACGCCGCAGGGTGAGGATCACAAAGTGGGCGGGCGGGACGGCAGAAGCAAAAACAATTAAAAATTGTCCGGACACCACTGCCTCCCTGCTTCCGGAACCGCGCCAGTCGACGATTCATAAAATGGGGACAAACATTCCAATTGTTTTCTGTCTTTGGCCTTTCTGGCGGGATTGGGCGTGGCAAAAAGAATGAAAAGAAAGGTTGCGGCAACGGTTCCGGGATCAGGAACCGCACCATGGTGCGTCGAGCCTTGCGCGAAGGTTCCTAGCGGAAAAGTCGCATGGTACCCCGGAACGTGCCCCACAAGCCCTAAACAAGTTGCTTTCGTTTTCCAGAGAACAACGCAAATACGCTAAATTGTTCGAGGAACAAAACTGCCACAGGGTAAGCTACAAACATATACATATATGTATCCAATCCGAACAGAGCGTTCGACATGTCACGTGCGTGGGAACAACAGAATAAATAAATATATGCGGAGCAAACAACGAGGATTTGGCGGACCCACTGCCTCTCTATTTACTCACACTTCCTTCCCGTCGTATTTTATTCCTTTGGGATACTTGAGGATCCGGCCAGCAGCCCAGGCGAATAATCCGGTGCGATTCCCTGTTTGCGTGTCTGCCACATGCATAGTTTGATTCAAGCGACGGTGGCGCCTCCACGCAATCAAACTCTTGTGTTGCCGCATTTGCGGCGCCAATGAGTTTTGGGCAGCCAAAAAACACACACACACAGACGGCCGCAACAAGAAGGGCGGGGCGCATCCAAGTCCACGGCGCAGTCCTTCACTTCTCTCCGCCCCAACGGAATATCACTGCGGCTCACAGCAGGTTGTGGTGGGTGGCGCCCACACTCACAAGTGAGGCACGACGCACACCATCCGCTCCACTCCGAGTGCACTCAGCAGGCCGGCGCCCAGCCACCCCCGTGCCACCGCAGAGGGGTGCACAAGCAATCGTCGTCGCGGACCATCGGTGCCTCTAGCAGAAAAGAAAGAGAAGAAATGGGGACATGCCAGAAGCACAACCAGCAGAGGGACACTCAACGGGACACGGAGACACAAAGTGACAGTGGACACGGCACAAACGGAAAACAGCCGCAGGGAATTAACCAAAACAGGAAATGAAACGAAAAAAAGAATGAGAATCCCGCAGGACTCCCGGAAAACAGAAAAAAGAAAAGAAATGATTCGGCAGGAATTTCATGTGCCATGCGGCTCAAGACGATCGGGTGCGTGCATATATATTACCTGCACAAAAGAAAAATAAAATAATAATAATAACATCGCGTTCTTCCACTAGCCCACACAACATTCCTCGCATTTCATGCGGCATCCGGCCTTTTCTTCCAATCCTCGCTCGTGCAGTCCGTGGGACGCACAGCCGCAGGGCCGGCACCGCGTGTGGGTGACAAAGCAAATTAAAAAAAGAAGAGAAAAAAAAGGAAAACACACATACTGTACTAGCCGTCCCCGCAAGGACACGCACGACTAGTCCCAATCACCGCACAGCAGCACAGACAAGGGCGATGACGAGCAGCAGCAGGGGCGTGCGCACCCACACAGTGGTGACGTCGCTGCCGTCCGGACTGAAAGTCGGCAACAAAGCGGCGATATCTTCTGTACTTTCGTTTGCACTTTCGTCTCTGGTCGGTCGGAGCGGATTCGTGCCGGTAACGGTGCTGTTGCCTTCGCCACTGGCGTCGGATTGGCTGTCACCCTCATTACTGTTGTGGGAAGTTTCATTGGCTGCCCCTTCTGCGGATGTCAGCGGGCTGACGGTGAAGTTTTCGCTCGGCCTTGAGGCAGAGCCGTCCTCAGCTGTTTGGTCAGGCAACTTCTCCTTGACGGTGACGTTTTCGCTTAGCATTGGATAAGAGCCGCCTTCGGCTGTTTGCTTAGGCGACTCCTCCTTGACGGTGATGTTTTCGCTCGAACTTGGGGCAAAGCCGTCCTCGGCTGTGTGGTCAGGCGACTTCTTCTGCGGTGCCTCAGCTGCCTCCCTCGGCGGAGTGACGAGACCGCCCTGTGCCTGGTCAACAACCGCCGTTGTCGATGCAGCCGCCGTAGCTGCCGGGGCCGCTGTTCCATTCCGCGGCTGCGACTGAAGCCGTTGCGCGCCATCAGTGGCCTCCCGATCATTGTTTATTGCCGTCGCCGAGCTGCTGTTCCTTAAACCCCCGTACGTCGCAAATTCTATCTCAAACATAAATTCTACCTGGTTACTGGGAGGACTGCAAAATACTCTCCTTCTCCAAGCTCTGTAGAAGTCCCCACCGGCAACGCACAGCCGTGCACGCTCATCACTGTCTTGATCGACTTCTCCAGGCTTCTTAGGGCACTTTTTCCATTCCTCTTCGCCTCGAAGATGCCAACTCAACTTACCGTCAGTCCCGGGACACGAAAAATGCACAAACACAAAGGTTTTTACCGGCACAGCAGTCCCGCAGACGGGCAAGCAGCAGCAGCAGCACAAGAGCGCGAGGATCAGCAGGTCGCACACCACGCGGCGCCGCACAGTCACCATCATCATCATTCGTCGTAGAGTCGCTCGACTTTGTGAGACAATCTACACAGCGGGGCAAGGACAACAAGAAGAAGAAGAGGGGGAGAGGAACACATGTGTCGCACTACGGGGACACACACACGCAGACGGCCGTGAAGCAGAACCCAGCACCCCACACGCACCCAAAAGGGGAAGGAGGAAAACAGTGTAGCCCCTAGGCTCCGATGGATGTAACTGCAGTTCCGGGAACCGGGAAGGGATGCGCATTCCTCATGAAGAGCACGCACCCACAATGAGTTGCCGAGCCCGCAGGAGATATGCAAGCAGGAATGACGGTGGGTGGGCGTTCGGTATGCGGTGTGTCTCACGGGAAAAAGGAAGCAATGCAAGGGACAAACCAAAATCCCTGCATTTTTCCATAAGCGGAGTCACATTTCGTTGTCTGCCAGGCAAATGACATCGGATGCCTCGCTTAGCCGCATCCGCCAGACGCCCCGCAGCCCACGTCCATCGCGGAGAGAACACGCAGCTCCTCAAGCTTCCCTCACCGGCACTGTCGTGCCAGCGCACGCATGTGAGTGACGCGCAAGGGTCCCACGAGCCCAACGGTGAGTCGTTGCACCGCAGTTCCCACAACAAACTGGGGCACCTCGCTCCCTGCCCTCCGCGGCGGAGTCACTCCCGCACACACCGCCACATCCGCCGCACCGCCGCGAATCACGGTCCTCCCACAAGACTCTCGCAAATGCACAGCACACACGCACCCTCTCCTCCCAGCAACCAAAGAGAACGCAAAATCCAAAACTTCTGTAAGGAAAAAACAAAAGATGACAGCTCTGTCATGTCAACAAACTGAAGTGACGACAACGAGGTGCGGCCGCAGCAGCCCGACCCCTCTTTCCCCAGCGCGTGGCTCCCCTCTCTCCCTCCCTCGCTTCTCACCCCATAGCCGCCATGAAGAGGTCCCTCGCGGATCGCCTGTCACAATTCGCCGCCACCCACGATTGAAGGCAATGGACGAAGTGTCGGCGGAGCCGCAGTGCACCCATGTGCCGCGCAAGCGTGTCTCTCGCCACAAGGCTCTATCAGCACCCCCCGCGCCACCGTCCGCCTGCGCCGCCTTCACCGCCTCGTCACACCAGCAGTGCAAGGCACCATTCTGGAGAAGATGCTCCCGCAGTAGCGCGCCAACGCTGCCGTCCGTCAGCTGCACTGCGCAGTGATTTCCCCCATGCAGACAGCACCGCAACTCGCTGAACGCGACGTGAATCTCCAGATCTATAGTCTCAGCGCAGTCCATTAGCGTGTAGCGGAAGCAGCGCAGTCCCACAATTTCATCCGCAAAGCAACGCCACTTGCCGCGCCAATGCCACGCCAACAAAAGACGGTTATACGCGAGTGGGTAGCGCTCCGCAATCGTCTGCTGCAGGCGCGCAAAGAACACGGAGCGGAGCAGCTCCACCGAGGACCCGGCGTGACGCGTTGCCATGAAATCCTGCATCACCTGCTGCGCCAGCGCTTCCTCCGTCATCGTTGGTCCGTCCGCGGGTGGCAGCGTCAAAGGGAATCGCACCGGCATTACACTATCGCAACTGGAAAATGCGGTTTTGCCACAGTAAGAAACTCCACGCCACCTACCAAAAACGAAAAAGACCAATGGGTAAAAGGGAGGGATGGTCACACAGGATGGGGGGAGAGCAATGGCAAGGAAGAAACACACAAAGACACACATCCGCAGCAAAACCACAACGTGCATCCGTCCCGTCCGCAGCAAAGACGCCCCTCCATTGGCCCACACGAACACAATAACAACAACATCCAGTCGATACAAATGGTGAAGAAGAAGGCAAACCAAAAACACTCAAAAATGGCACGTAAATGCATGTATTTATCCATAAATAAGTGTAGGTTAAAAATAACTGGCAACATTTTCTTTGAAATGTGAACACCCCTCACCCATGCATTGCATGCTTGTCTCGTGCCATCGCTCAGTAATGCGAGTACTTCTTCTTCTTGTTGTTGATTATTTTCGCTTATTTTATTTTTTTTTGGGGGGGGCGGGGGGTCTTCTTCTTTCCGTCACTTTTTCTTTTTGCTACAAAAGAACACACGCAAAAGATGGGAGAAAGAAAGGGACAGGGATTTCACTGAGAGTACTGTCGTATTCCTCCTCTTACTACGTTTCCTCAAAATTCCCATTACCACCACCACCACCACCATCATCATCCTCATCATCATCACTACCGCCCCTCCCCTCTCCTTGTTTCTCACGCTTTTGCTTTGAGCTCATGTATGCCAAATGTACGTCCTAAATATCTGAAGCCGGTGACACCTCCTCCCCCGCGTGCTTCGCGTACTGCCGCCTCCACTGCACGACTTGCTGCGCCTGTTCGTGCAGACCCGCTTTGAGGAAGGAGCTGGAGAGTGACAGTGCCGTGGCGGCGTCTGGAACCCAATTACGATCGCGCAGAAGGTGGAGGGTCTCTACCGTCTTGTCAAACCGTCCCGCCCTGGCGTATCCCCGTGCAATGGCGTTCAGTGATGTGTAAGACAGGTCCGCGTTCATCGAATTGGCCTTCTCACGTAACTCATCTACGCGGCTCATGTCTCCAAGGCGGCAGTAGTACGGAATAAGGGTAAGAACATCACTCGCGGTAAGAGTATTATTTTCATCCGTCTTCTTTAACTCCTCGACGCACTTTTCCATGTCGTCCGGGGCTGCGCAGCGGCAAAAGGCGTCAATGAATGACCAAATGACTTTTCTAGTGAAGAGATGACGGGACGTGGGGGAAGTGACCTCTGTGTAGAGACGGTGCACTTCCTTTTTTAGCCTCGCCCGGCCGTAGGATGTGGCCATGATGCAGTATATGAGGTCATCCATGGGGATCCCCGATGACTTCCGCTGCTGCACAATTTCCTCCATCCGCTCAAATCGTCGCGCGCGACCGTAACCGTCCGCCAAGATATTGTGCGTGACAGCATTATTGGTGTAGCCCTTCTCCAGAAACTCGGCATGAAGTTTTTCCATTTTGGCAACATCACCTGTTTTGGCGTATGTGTTCATCATCTGATGATACGTCACGGATGTCGGCATGGTGTCAGGGGACTGCTTCATATCATCAAAGAGCGACTCCATCTCTGCTACTCTCCCTGATTTTCCCAACATGTCAAGTACAGTGGTGGCCGTTACGGGGTTCGGTGGTACTTGTTTCATCATGCTGTTGAGAACCGCCTGCATCTTCCCGGCGTTGTGTTGCCTGCTGTACAGCAGGAGAAACTGGTTGTACACCTCCGTGTCTGGGAACAGCTTCGACGACAGCAGATCATCCCAGGCGTTGCTCACGCCGTCCACATCGCCCATCCTGCTGAGAGATGACGCCAGAACGGAGTAAAACGCGGCGGAGACTTCCCCCTCATGCTCCTTCAGCAGTTGAATGACATCGCGTACCTTCTCGGCGTCCCCCCAGCGGGCAAAAGCGGTGATGAGGGTTCCAAAGGTGACATCATTCATCGCCGTTCCCTCTGCCTTCATTTTTTCAATTAACTCGGTCACCTTCTCACGTTGACCGCTCTTGCCGTATTTGTTTAGCAGCACATTAAAGATGTCCGTGGACCACGATGAGATTTCTTTGAGAAGCTCCTCCAGCTTCTCAGAGCCCTCCGCATGATTGGCGTAAACATGAAGCATACTTGTCTGCACATGCGGATGGTCTGTCAGGCCTCGCTTCTTCGCCTCCGCGTACGCGGCCTCCGCCTTTGCTAAGTCATTGGCGTAGATGCGAATGAGCACCGCGAATGTGACGGGTGTCAGTTGCAAAGTCCCAAACCCCTCCCGTCGCTTCATCTCCTCCACAATCGTCTCCACTCGTTCCAAGTCGCCCAAATCGCCAAAGATGCCTATCATTGTGTTGTACAGCTGCACATCCGGCCGCACGTGTTTCTCCACCATCTCCTCGTAGAGCTTTTCAACATGACGAGGATAATATTTCCCTAGCGCACGAAGCGTCCATGCATATGTTTGAGAATCCGGATGCACACCCGCCGCATCCATCTCCTCCTTCAATGCAATCACATCCTTCACATTTCCCATAAGAGCAAACCACTTTAGCAATTCATTGTACACACGCACATCGTTGGTAAGGCCATTGTATTGCATACGTGTCCATGCGGTCTTCAGGGAATCGGGCCGCCCCGCTGCCCCATAGCCACGAATGACAGCGCGGATGTGTGCGGCACTGATATCCATGTCGGGATCTCCTTGCTTCAGACGAGACTCAATGGAGGACAGAAGAGTGTCCACCTTGGACAGCATGAGTTCCTCGCTGCCACGATCGCCAAAGTGAATAAGCCGGGCGTAGGCGGCAATGATGATGGAATTCCCTGTGACATCCGGAAAATAGCCAATCTCCTGAAGCTCAGCCTCCACAGCCGCAATCTCCTCCACAGAAGTCACGTGTCGCATACGCTGCCTAAGAATAATGGCAAAAGTTGCCGCATCCAACGCGACAGACTTTTCGCGGGATGCCTGAAAGACAGCAGCGAAAGAAGCCTCATCGTCGCGTTGGTAAAATACACGGAAGAGAGCACGGAAGATGTCAGTAAGGTCGGCGGGGTCTATGTTAAGCTGCGTCACTTTTTGCAACACCTCCATGATCTTCTCCGTCCTGCGAAGTTTGTCGTAGCCGTCAATAAGCGCAACGATGTCCTCCCGTGTGAGGTCACTAAAAGAAAGTCCCTCATGCAGCGCATCGGCCTCCTCCGGATGGTTGGCGAAGAGGTACGCCGCGATGCACAATGGCCGCATGGCGGGATCGGACCGCATCTCATTTGCCAGCTGGATCATCAGCTCGCTGCTGTCGTTCTCCTTGTAGGACTCAAAGAGGTAGCGCAGCGCATCCACGGAGATAACGCAGCCATACTTCCGAAACCGAAGGAAGGCGCGAAAGAGTAGGTGAGCCATGTCGTGCTGCGAGTACTTGACACACTCCTCCATGATACCCTCCATTATTTGCGAGGCACTTGCAGGGTCGATCAATTGCTTTCGAAGAAATTCCTGAAGAACAATCATCAGGTGCGTGACGGTGTTGCGAAAGTGCAGTTCCCGCTTACGTGAGCGCCACACTTGTTGACGGACATGCTTCAGCACATGCCGTGGCTTTGTACGCACCACCCGCACCAAGTCCTCCTCATCCTTCTGTGAGAAGGGCTGAAAAGATGCGGTCCTCTGGCTGAAGCGAAGGCATGTGAGGCCAATGGCTGCATGGCGACGGAGCAACAACCGACACGTAAACATTTGAATGTACTTTTAAATAAACTCCCCTCGTGCACATACACGCATGTGGGGCCACAGAGCAACAACGGAAAAAGAAAAGGAAAAAAAAAGTTGCAGGCTGCAGCAAAGAAAATAACTCACTTCTTTCAGAGGCATAATAAATTCCTTTTTTTTTTCCCCATTTATTTATTTTTCTGGGAGAAAAAGGGGGAGGCGGTAAAAAACTCCCCTTCACCCCCCCGCTAACGCATATGCGCACAGGCAGGTAGACAGACAAATACAAGAAGTGAAAAAAAGGCAGGTATAAAAAACTGTTTTTTTTTTTTCTATTTTTTGGTTGTTGTTTTTTGTTTGTTGTTTGTTTTTTGAAACGGCAGGTGGGGCTCTCACTCCCCCATTTTTTTTTTCTTCTTTTTTCAATTGCCTTCGGCCCCATTCATTTGTTGGGTCGTCCTGAATCGCTTCAACTCATCGATGCGTGCGTAAAGCCCCTCCCGTCTTCCATTCATCTCGCGTGAAAAGTCGCCAAGGGATCGCATCAGGGCGTCGTTCCATGTTTGGTAAAAACGAACCGCCTCCTCTACACTCCGCAGCCTCCCACAATCTGCCGTTTTGATGCAATCGTCCTCTACGCCAATGCAGCTGCTCAAAAGTGCGGTGACGCGTCGCATCGCACGTTTTTCCTCAAAGGACCACGCGTCCACACCATGCAGGAGATCTGCCAAACTGAGGCTTGCGGCTTTCTCCCTTTCCTTATCATCCTTATGGCTGCCATATGTACGCAGCGTGGCCCGCACCATCTCCACAGAACGGGCGACGTCGTCCGCTTCCTTTAGAAGAGGCTCGAGCGCCTCCCGCTGTGCATCTACCGACTGCATCAATGCGGCTCGCTCGTGAAGTGCTTCTTTGCATGTCGACTGCAGACGCTGTACCTCATCACGCAATTCATCCCGCAGTCGGCTGGTGTGCGTAAGCCGCTGGAGTAGTTGCTTGTAAATCGCATTCGTGTCCTCGCCGGCAGTAGGCGTCACGGCACTAATTTTATGTATTTTGTCGATCCGTTGTCCCTGGCCGCAGCCGTGCAACTGCGCATCCCGTAGCGCAGCGACAAGATCTCTGCTACGGGCATTCAACGCCTTCACCTCCTCCTCCTCCGCCGCCAACTCATGCAGCAACGCAAAGTAGCGGCTACGAAATAACTCCGCGGCGGCACTCGAGCGGGTTTCACGTCCCCTCACGATGTCCAGCATCTTTTGGTTCGCCTCCACCGTCCGCTGCCACGCGTTACGCGGGTCGACATCTTCTTTGCATGTGCCGCTGAGCCCCAATGAACAGTTCAGCCCCCGCGTCCGCTCCATCCGCAGGTCGTTTAAGAAGAGCTCCTCCTCCTCCTCCTCCTCCTCCTCCTCCCCCTCTCCCTTTGCAGCGGCTCCACTGAACCACACACAAATACATACACACACACGCAAATGCAGCAGCCACAAAAAAAAAAAAAGACATTTCAGTAACAAATGCAACACACACACACACACACAAAGAGTCCAACACGCCTCACCCACACATCCCGGCCAATAAGGCACGTGTATATATCACAGATGTCTGTATCCGTAATGTATGTATATATTTATTTATATATTTATGTATGTTTCGTGCATGGCGTTGTGAGAAGTGACAAGCCGCTCAAAAAAAAAAAAAAACCGCAGTGTAATACGCAAGAACAGACAGACAGAGAGAGACGGACGTGAGATGCAAATTACCGTACTTCCCCCTCCTCTTCCTCCTCCTCCTCTCTTCCAGATTGAGACAGCAAGAACAGCAGACATCCGAACGGCAGCCTAAAAATCAATAATAATAATAATAATAATAAAAGAATGGACTCTCCACCACATGCACCAGCGCATAATTTCTTAAAGTGAGACAATAAAGAATATATATATACGTGCCATTGGGCGTAGAAGAAAAAAAAACTCTCAAACACCTCACGGAAGATCAGTGCAAATTTCTTTGCGTGCATCTCTCCCTCTCTCTCTGTTTCTTTTCACTCCACCGGCCGCAGCGAAGTAACAAATGAAAGAAAAGAAAAAAAGAAAAAGGCCTATTGATCCGGGTGGTTGCGTCTACACCCATCCATAAACAGCCATCGTATGAGATGACACGACGTGCCGCTATGTGCCTGTGCCTCAAAGCCCCCCCCCCCCCCCCCCCCAAAAAAAAAAAAGGGGAGGGGGGGAGGGGAAACCACATTATCGCAGGCATTTCCTCTTGTTGTTTGTTTTTTTCCCAAAAAAAAAAAAAAACTATTCTTCTGCATCTTTCCTCTCCGTGTTCTTCTCTGCGTTTGTGTAAAGTGTCGTCACCCACCTTTTGTTGTTGTTGTTGTTGTTGTCTTTTCACTGCACTCCTCTTCTTTTTTCTGTTATTATTATTATTAATCGTGCCGATGTGCATGCATCGTTTAAAAGAAAAAAAAATTTTCCTTCGCCTGTCGTTCCCAGTCACGGGGCTCCGTTGGGTGCACGCGTCGTGGCGACCCACGGCGGCACCACCAGCCGGGGGTTGTGACGCGGCGCGGCGGTGTCCATGCCTGGTGCTCCCTCCCTTCTTTCGTCCCGCAGGCACGCCTCGAGGACGTCGATCTTTTCCCAATCCACATCGACGGGATCGTCGTCGGATGATATCGGCTCCCCATCGGCGCTCATGCGGCGACTCATCTTCCACTGACGCTCCGCCTCGTCGTCTGAGAAGTCCGGCCGTGCGTGTGGCGGCAGTTCCTCATCGTTGATGTAACTGGCGTCGGTGCCACGTCGCATGTCACACTGCGAGACGGGGTCGTAAATGACGCTTTGCTCGCCAAGGTCGTAGCAGAGGCCCACACCGACGGTCAGTTTTCCGCCGTCGCAGAGGGCGTCAAAAACGGCGGGGAGGCACACGATGGCGTACGCGCAGCACGACACAGGGCCCATCACAGTCGTGATGACACCAACCACGAAGCCGTCACCGAGACAAAGACGCGTCCCGGCATCCATCACAAACGCCCCGGAGACGTTGTCTGCCACGACGGTGCTGCTGCGCGCGATGAGGCCAGTCACGGATGCCACCGTCGCCTCAGAGACACGCTCCATGGGGATCTGCAGAAGCGGCTCACCGTTCGCGTCACGCAGCGCCGCCTGCACCAATGCAGAGGGTGAACCCTCACTGTGGGCGGCAGTCACCTGCCCCTCCGACAGAACATCACTGCCCTTCCCCTCGTCCCTCTCGCGAATGCCGTTTGTGTTCCTGTCATCATCCCCCGCATCGTCATCGGCATCATCATCATCAGCGGCGGCGGCATCATCGTAGCGCGGCGACGCGTCAGGCCGGTGCCGTCTGATTATCGGCTCGGAGTCCACGGAGCTCAGTGAGACGCGCTGCCGCCTCACGCCTCGCACGTCCTCCGCCAACTCGCATGAACTGCCCGCCGACGATGCATCCATTCGGGGGAAGCAGCAGCAGCAGCAGCAAAAGAAAAAAGAAAAAAAAACTAAACTAAACTAAACTGTGCCCCACGGCAAAATGCGCAGCAAAATACACCGTGAGAAGACAATTTTGTTTGGGTTTTGTTCATCCAAAAGGAAAAAAAAAAGGGGGGGTGCAAATAAATAAAAATAATTAATGAATGAATGAATGAATTAAGAGGGAGGAGGCAACAGCAGCTGCGAGCACATCGCTGGTCGTGACAAGACGACACGGATGGTGTCATCCCTGCCAAAAAAAAAAAAAAAAAAAGGGGTGGATGGGCGGGGAAAAAAAATCAAATCAAACCAAATAAACATCAGACGCCTACAGTGCAAACATACACACAGGAACAAACAGAGAGGGAGAAAGTGGGGAAAGAGAGAAAGAAAACAAAAAGAGAGAAAAAAGAGGAATAAAAAACTAAACATAACAAAAAAAAAAAAGAAACGACAGCGGCCAAAACGTGTCTCATGCAGCGTCCTCATCGTCATCATCGTCTTCAAGGCCGTACACGCCGTACCAAAGGTCCACGTAACCGCCGTAGATCCAATTGGCCATCATGCAGTACGTACTAACACACAGCGCGGTAGAAGCCACCATGACGATATCCGTCCGGCTGCGGCATAAGGACCGTCCGCGACTTTTCAATGCGTCCCACACTCGCAGTCCTGGCGTGGCAGCAAACATGAACACACACACACACACAAATAAAGAGAGAGAGAAATACAGAAACAAATAATAACAACTTTCCGCTCTCACCCCTCACTGTAAGCTTTCCTTGTGGCCTTCGCCCAACACCGTGTGTGTGTGTGTGTGTGTGTTTGTTTCTAGGGAAGAGGTGAGAATGAAAAGGTCACGTAAAGAAGAAGAAGAAGAAGAAAAGAAAGAAAGAAAGAAAGAAAACGAAAGTCCACTCCTCGCTCCTTTCACTGGAGGCAAAAGGCCCACCGACACCCACACATTACACCACACCGCAGTGACGTACATTAAAGGATCGTTCTCACTCAGACCCCGATGGCCCCTTTCCCCATCGCCACCACCTCCTCTTCCCACTCTCACTGGACCAAACAGGCAGCAGCAAAATATTATTATTTATTATTTATTATATAAAAAAAATAAAAGAATAAAAAAAAGCAAAAAAGAAAAAAAGAAAAAAACAAAAAAATTGATAGTCCTAATAATCATTATAATAAAAGAAAAGAAAAACTAAAAAAAAAAAAAGGGAAAAAAAAGAAAAAATTGCCCATCCTTTTCTTTATTTTTGTTGTTGTTGTTTGATCGCACAAGATGGGAAATTTACTACTCCGCCCTTTTCATTTCCCCCCCCCCTTCCCCCCCTTCCCAAAAAAAAAAAAAGAACGAGAATTGAGTCAGCCGCATGTATTTTCCCCGACACACACACACACACTTATATATATATAGATAGATAGATATGTCATGTTATTCCTTCCAAGTATTTGTCCTTGGAAAATCAATAGGACACTTTTTTTTTTTGTTGTTTTTTTATGTTTTTATGTTGTGTGCGTGTGTGTGTGTGTGTGTGTGTTGTTTCATGTTGTTGTTTTCGCTCTTCGCCTCTTCCACATCTTTGTTTTTTTTGTTGTTTTGTTTTGTTGCTTTTTTTTCCCTCTTTTCTCCTCCTCCTCCACTCTTGCAGGCATTCCACACACACACACACACACAAACACAGACCTATAATATATATATATATATACATATACATACGCACCGACACGCTCCCTCTCTCTCCCTCTCTCTCTCTCTCTCTCTATACATATATATATATATATTCTTGTCATTCTTGGACTCGTAATATTATTCCACTTGACAAGGTTTTCTTCTTCCTTTCCTTAAATAAATAGTAACAACAACCATAAGATCATTTGACAGTTACCCATGAAAGACACAGACGCCCTCTGCGGGAACAACATAGCGGCACTCTCTACGCTGTTCCCAGAGCATCTTCCACAGTGACCTCTCATCCGTAATGTATGTGGCACCCAGTATCTCACGAATGTACTTTCTTGTCACCTGGATTGCGTTGTAGTGTGGAATTTTGCTAAAAAGGTGATGTACCACGTGGGAATCATTGATGTGATGGAGCCATGTGTTAAGGACAAAGCCGTAGTCCCTGTCCACAGCCGCCAATGCACCGCGAACAAACGTCCAGTGCTCATGTGTGTAGTGAGGAATGCGTATATCCGTGTGCTGCAGGTATGTGATGTACACAAGCCAAAAGTTCACCCAGAGGTACGGTACAATGTACCAGTAGAAGACATTTGTAAAGCCAAAGCGGTAAACGCTGGAGAAAATGACAAATAACGCGCTGACAATCCCAACATTCGACAGGACAACATCGTGGCGGTCTTCGCTGCGGAAAAATGGGGCGCCGGGGTCAAAGTGGCACGCGAGTCGGCCAAATTCCTGTCCAGAGGCATTAAAAAGAAGATGTGCCGGCCAACCAAAGAGAAAAATTATCAAAGTTTGAATTAATGACACCAGCGGTGCATCCTCCACGAGCTCCACAACCGAGTTTCGTTTCTCTGGAACAAACACAAGATCCTTCGTGAGGTGATTCGTGTGTTTGTGGTGGCCGCCGTGGGTGATGCGCCAGCTGTGGTACGGCACGAGCAGCGCAGAGTGCAAAATCATGCCAACGGCGTCATTCAACCCTTTCATGGGGCTGAACGCCTGATGGCCGCATTCGTGAGCCAGGACCCAAAGCGCAGTGCCGTTAAGTCCCTGTACAAACCAAAACACCGCCCACAACACTCCCTTTAAAAGCCACGCCGCTGTCGTCATGGCTGTACCTGTCATCAATGATAACGCCCCACCGTCGGCCACCGTTCTTGCTGCAGAAACCTCCATGGAAGTGGCAAGTGGCAAGACGACGGCGTGCATAATAGCGTACGTCAACGCCACCTGTGCAAGGTCGCGTAAAAGAAACATGACGCTCCGGGTGGTGTTGCGTTCAAAGTACTTTACCGGAATTTTCTCCTGAATTTCTCGAATGGTCAGTGCGGAGGAAGGCACAATGACATTGTGCTCCTTTTTGCGCCCAGACTTAAGCACCGCCTTCATGACATCCGGTGAACCCGGCGCGACAGTTAAATTGTCAACCCGCGACATAAACCCAACTTCTTTCTTTTCCTTTTTTTTTTTTCTTTTAATGGCCAGGGACGTCTGTTTGTGTGTATTTTATTATTATATTTCCCTTTTCCTTCCTTCCCTTCTCCTTGTCCGGCGGGTTGGATTGGGTGAGTGCTACGGCTACTACCTTTCCTATTCTTCTTGCTTTAGCTGATGTTTTTTGCTACGCGTCAAAGGAAGGGGTATATATGTATGTATGTGTCTGTGTGTGTGTGTGTGTGTGTGTCTTCTCTTTGTTTTTTGTTTTGTTTTTTGTTTGTTTTTGTTTTTGTTTTTTTTTTCCCCTTCCAAACACCACCACCACCACCACCGCAGCAGCAGCAGCAGCAGCCAATATTTATTTATACACACATTGTATGTGAAGAATAAAAGAGACGGAGAGAAAAACATTTCAAAGAAGTAGACTCACGGATGACGCACAACAACAATCACCTTTTCCTATAATCCCCTCTCAACTCACCATTCATGCACGCATGTTCCTCTACACAACCTATTGTGATGCACACTACAGGCCTCATGGACCTCGTGATATTATTTATTTAGGATCCACGCAGGAACATATATATATATATGGGTATATATGGGTAGATATATATATATATATGCCCTTGCGTCATCGAGGTGCGTCGCCATCTCCGGGCGGCAGCGAACAGCTCAGCAACGTTATCGCCAGCACCTCTGCCAGAGAGCACGACGAAGAGAGAATGCGCGCCCCCGGCTGAGGCCTCGTTCCCCAGCCCCACAAGGAGATACTACGCAAAAGAGAGGTGGCGGTCTGGCTCGGCACACACCCAGCAGCCCCCACACCTCGGAGGAGACGCATCAGGCACGCATTGCACACGCTTCCCCTCCTCCCCACCCACCCCCCCCTTTTTTTTTTTGATGTGTGTGTGTGTGTGGTGGTGTCTTAAACCCCTTTTTAGCCGTGGAATAATCTACTAAGCCGCTGGCCGAATCCTGCAGTTTATCAATAATAGAAACCAAAACAAGATGGGAATAACAATAATTCAAAAAGGGAATAAATGAAATAAAAGTATGGGATTCACCATATCCTAAATGAGTGTTTACACCAAGTAAGTGCACATACATACATCATTTATATTTATATACACGTAACATCCGTCAGCCACAATCGTAGCCCGCTCACTCTGTTCGGATGGGGTAAAATATATTTATTTATCTGTGTGTATTTATCGCTTACCAAGTGGCAGACCTTGGGCTCCGCCAGCCACAAGGCCTCGCCGCGAGGTGGGAATCAAAAAGGGGGTGGTGGGAAAGTAAGAAATAAAAAGTAAAGAAAAATCCGTCCTGTCGCTATCGGCTCCCTGGTTCCTTCAATCACCGTCCTCCAAAAATTCATAAGATAGAAAAGAATCGTGCAGAAACATCTCCGTTTCGTCAGGACATATTCATTTAGGTGACCAGCTCCCCCGCGAACATCCCTTTCACAAGCTCCTAAAATACTTATTCCTTATTTAAGTAAGCATACTGTTGTCGGCACAGCCGGTGTTCGCCTCATCTTTTTTTCCCGTGCCGCTGCCGTGGTCCCTCGTATTTTTTTGTTCCCGTTTCCTTTTTTTTTTGCTTGTTTTAAATATATTTATTTATGCGTTCTTTTTTTTATTAATTGGCAAAGAGAAAAAAAAAAAGGCATAGGGACATCTTAACCTCCATTCCCCACTACAATTATTATCCCCTCTCTCTCTTTTAACTTTTTTTCAAGGCAGCATACATGGGAGGGGGAGAGGTGGTGGGGAAGATGACATGTCTCCACGATGCGCTTTTCAGATGCGAAGATATACGTAGAAAACGTACGCCCCTCCCCATTATCCTCCTTTTCCTCCTTCCCGATCTTTCTTCTGTGGCTATCGGCATGTGCGTCTTTCGCCCCTCTTTAGGACTTTCCTCGAAGTTTCCTCACCGCCGCTTCGAGGCGCATGTCAAAAAGGTCGGCAATGATCTCTTCGCTAAAGTACTCTTCCATGTGGCGGCGCCCACGCTTGCCCACTCTTCGTGCGTGTTCGGGGTGGTCAACGACATATCGCATCAGTTCCGCCGTATCCTGAACACTGGGCAATGCCCACTTGTTGGCCCGAAACACATGATACCCCGCCCCGCTCGGCACCTCCTCCAGCCCGTCCACGCGAATACCGAAGGTGGCGTTGGGTGGCATGAAGGTGGTGGTGCCGCCCCAGTTGGTGATGATCACAGGGATGCCCATCGCCATCGCCTCCGTCGCTGGCAGTCCCCACCCCTCCGCGCGTGTGGGAAACACAAAAGCATCGACGGAGCAGTACAATTGCAGCAACGACTGCTCGCCCACATACCCCAACCCGCTTAAAAAGACGATGTGCGGCATGTCCTCCATGGACGTGAATCCTGGCAGGTTTTTTTTCGACCAGTTTCCTATGAGCTCATTGATATTGTGGTTCCCGGCACCGCCGGAGTACAATTGGATCCACTTCACCTTTAAATAGAGGGAGACATTGTTGTGCAGCGGCGATGATGGTCCAAACGCCTTCCAATAGGCCTTCAAAAGCACATCCCACCCTTTCCTCATTTCCCACTTCATGATGGACAAAAAACGAAAACGGCGACGCAGATCCTCTGGGGAAAGTCCCGGCCTATTCGTGTAGGCCGTCGGTAGGGACAATGGAAACGACGCTGGTCGACAGTTCCGTGGGTTATACCTGTGTATATTGACCGACTCAGGGACGACATGAATCTTTTCAGCCGCGACGCCAGAGCGGCGGTAGACTGTGCGAAAAAACTCACCGGTTGCCCACACCTCATCCGCATAGAGGTGCATGCCATTCACCCAATCCCTTGGAATAAGTGAAAACTCACTGAGGCTCCTGCCAATGAAGTAGTCCATCTTGTGTGGCAATGAAGCATGTACTTGCTTGTAGCTGGGTGCGCGAAGGTGCATAATGACAATTTTAGGGCGATTCTTGTATGCTATTTGCCACTTAACAGTATTGGAAAAAGAAGTAAAAAATTTCTCCGCACGCGACTCGTCCGTGAGTTCCAGGGAAACCAACTCCGATCCCACTGCATCGGAGCAGAAGCTGTGGCGCAATCCCCTCAAAAAGGACACAGCATACCGCTCCGTCAGCGGGCGCAAGTACCCAATGACCTCTCGCATCAGTCCACAACATGAACAGTTGTAGTCACGTGCAAAAAAAAGTAACGGCGACAGCGGCTTGTCAACCGTGCCTTCTTCCCCCCGCTTTTGGTATGGGGTGGCAAAGCGGCGGTTGTGTAGCCTCTGTAGAGTGTCAAAATGCTCCGCCCCCCAATTATCGGCAGCAGGAAAGGCTGGTTGCCTCAAAAGCTGGAGTAATGATGATGATGGCGAAGTGCCTTCGTCAATGATGCCAAAGGCAGCGCTACTCCACACCTGCCATTCCTTGTATTCACGCTGCAGAAAAATGCTGTACTCCCATCCGGCAATGTCTGGCGCCTGGGACAAAGTCGTGTTTTCACTGAAGAAAAGGCTGTCAAACCCCTTGAAGGCGTCAAATGCCTGGCGGTGAAAAAGTGTACAAAAGGGCGAGACGGCGTCAACCAACTCCGGTTCCAAAAGACGTTTATCGGTGGCGAAAATGCCGTTGTACCTTCGCGACAGGTACGGTAAAAGAAGTTCCAACCGCTTCAATGCAGCGAGGCCCACAAAGACACCCCGATCCGAAACCACATGAAGAGCGTCGAGAACCACTTCCTGACCTTTGTCTATCCCTTGCGTATTGGTACTTTTCTTCTCCAGAAGGGTGCACTGAACGGCCAACACCTTTCCACCGTTTCGCCTCGAAGGTAGAAAAAGTTTTTGCATAAAGTCATCGGATTTGGGACGCACAAAATCCGCAAGGAGAACAAAGTAATCGGTGCGCCGCACTGCCCTCAATGCCATCCGCACTGCCGCAAGGTCCATGCCATAACTGTCACTTTCGACCTCCGCTGCACTTGCCGCAAAGAGTACGCGTGCCTCCATGACGCAGGGAGCCACGTTGTATTTTTCCCTAATTCCCCTCTTGGCGAGGTCGACGCTCCACAGATTCCATGAACCGCTGTCACCGTATGGTTGAATACTCACTGGGATGCCGCCAGACCACGACGCATTGTCGGGCGGAGCATAAAAGAGCATCACAAGGGACACAAGGCTCATAGGCGACGATGATGTACACCACGCACGGCGGCTAAGCGCCTGCTTCAGTCGACTCCCCGCCAAATTCGCGGCTGAAAAAGGTGCTGAGACACGCAGTTCCGTAATGACGACTGTCACGCTGCTTGTGTTCCCGCCAGGGATAAGAAAACCGCTATCATCACGGATGGTCGCAAGTGCTCTCGGCGGTAGGATGCGCAGGAAGAGGTAGAAGCAAAACAGGAGTACAAGCAGCGAAATGACGGCACGGTATTTTCGTCGGGTCCTTGCACGACCCCTCGCGCCACGAGAGCGGAAGCGCGAATAGTTCATTCTAAGCGAATTGCACAAATAACTATTTTTTTTTTGTTGTTGTACACACACACTTCCCCTCCCTCCGCCCTTCTCAACGCCCCAACGACCCTTTTTTTGTAGGATGCGAGCGTGTGACGCTTTCCCTCTCTGCAGGAGACGTGAAGCACAGAGCAAAGAAAAGAGAAAAAAAAAAAAAAAAAAAAGTAAGGGAGAGAGAGAAGGAGGGGCGACCGTAAAGCCGCCACACATCCAAAACAAAATTAAACATAACTTCTGTCGTCTTTTCACAACGTTCCCGCCGTGTTGGTTCTGTCGCCTCCCTCCTCATGCAGTCCAGGCCGCGGATGGTGAAAATAAACCCTCATCCCTCAAGAGGAGACTGGAAAGAAGAAGATGGTGAAAAAAAAAGAGGGAGTAACAGTGGAGGGTACACGTATACAGTTACGCCGATGTGATCCATGCACACATCCATTTGGCGTCTGCAGTCTGTTGCAGCATCTTCTCTGTGTTGTGAAGCCACGCGTGTACCCGCTGCCGACCAAAACGCAGCGAAGCAAGAAGCGCCAACTGCTCGTTCGCGTCGGGTGGTGACGTGAAGACGGCGGCAGTGGCGATGCCAGAACTGTTGTCCGTCGTCGTCGTGGTGGTGGCGGTGGTGCCAACGTTGTGGCGCTGCTCCACAGGCATCGGCGAATACGAAAAGCCCGTGTGTAGTAAATATATATTTATATATTTATATATGTGTGTGTGTGTGGGCAGCCTCCACTTCTCTTCCCTCAATTCACGCAAGGAACAGGGCAGACTAATCCCGTCTCGTAGAACACACAAACACACAGAGAAAGAGAGAGAGAAAATAAAATAAAATAAAAGCAACACTCCAAGGACGCAAAGAAAAGAAAAAAAAGAAAAAAAAACAGAAATGAAAGGCAATGTGGAGGTGCGGAGGCAAAGAATGCAGGCGAGCCCTAAAGGCATGCATAAACTTGTATACGTGTCATGTCAACCACGTGCTCACTGGGATCGACAAAGGGGGAAAACGGAGGGACGAAACCAAACAAAAAAAAAAAAAAAGAGAAGCATAAAGAAGACTGTAAAAATCGGACGGAATAAAATAATTTGCCTTCTGACTGCGCGTTTGTTGCTGTTCTTGTTGTTTTTGTTTTCTTTTTTGTGTGTGCGTGTGTTTATTTGAACTGACGAAACCAAACTAATAATAATAATAATAATAATAATAATAATAATAATAATAATAATAATAATAATAATAATAATAATAATAATACGAAAAGAGAGTGTTTGCGGTGGCATAAAAACAACAACAATAAAAATAAAAACAATAATCATAATAATAACAAAAAAAAACCGAATGAATCGAAGGCGTTTGCGTTTCGTTGGTGACTAAGCGATAAGGCCAATGTCCTCAGCAGCGTTGTTTGTCGTGTTGACAGCCTCGTGATTCGGTACGACGTACACCTCGCCAGCACGCATCTCCACCTTCACCGTCTCCTTCTCCCGCACACGGCCGTCCAGCAGCATCAGCGCAAGGCGGTTAAGCAGCACCGACTGCACGAGGCGTTTGAGCGGCCGGGCGCCGTACACCGCGCTGTAGCCATTCTCACCAAACCAGTCGTACACATCCGATGTCGTCTCCAGCGTGATATCCTGCTCTCGCAGCATCGCCCGCAGCTGATCGAATAGCAGCTCCACAATCTTGCGTGTCTCCTTCCGCCCAAGACGGTTAAACATGATGATGTCATCCAGTCGATTGATAAACTCCGGTGTCATGCGCTGCTGCACCTGCCGCATCACTTCCGGCATCGCCTTTGAGGACGGAACCCCTTCCGGAAGAGCCGCGATGACTTCTGCGCCGATGTTTGAGGTGAGGATGATAATGGTGTTTTTGAAGTCAACGCGGCGGCCATGGCTGTCGGTGAGGTGCCCCTCGTCGAGCACTTGCAGGAGGATGTTGGAGACGCTTGGATGTGCCTTCTCAAACTCATCGAAGAGAACAATTTGGTACGGACGTCGCCGCACGGATTCTGTGAGTTCGCCACCCTCCTCGTACCCGACGTAACCTGGCGGAGCTCCAATGAGGCGGTGGACGGAGTGCCGCTCCATGTACTCGCTCATGTCAATGCGGCAAATGAAGGATTCATCGTCAAAGAGGAACTTCGCGAGTTGCTTGCACACCTCCGTCTTACCGACACCTGTGGGGCCCAGAAAAAGAAATGATCCAAGGGGTCGCTTGTGTGAATGCAGTGCGGCGCGGGAGATGCGAACGACGTTTGTGATAGACTCAATTGCCTCGTCTTGCCCAAGAATGCGACGGCGCAGCTCGGTATCCATGTGAATGAGTTTGTCGCGCTCTCCTGTCATGAGCTTCTGGACCGGGATGCCAGTGGCGCGGGCAATCACCTGCGCAATGTCGCTTGCCGTGACAGAGTCATGTGTGAGGAAGCTATCCGCCCTCGTTGCGAGCTTGTCCGCCTCAATCTCCTTCTTCAGCGTTGGGATGCGGCCGTGGAGTATCTCAGACGCCTTGGCGAAATCGCCCTCCGTGCGTGCCTGTTCGTACTGGTGCCGCAAGACGTCCAGGTCCTCTGTCCGCTGCTTGATGCGCTCAAACATGGCCTTCTCTTTCTTCCAGCGCGCCTCCAGGGCGTCGTACTCATCCTGCCTCTCCGCAATGCGTGCATACAAATGCTCAAGCTTCGCCTTTCCAAGTTCATCCTTGTCCTTCTTGACCGCCTCCACCTCAATCTTCAGTCGAACAAGCTCACGCTCGACGCTGTCAAGTTGCTCCGGCTTCGACTCCTGCTGCAGCCGCAGCCGACTTGCGGCCTCGTCGATGAGGTCAATGGCCTTATCGGGCAGCCGACGGTCGGAGAGGTATCGGTGCGAGTTCACCGCGGCGTACACAAGCGCCTCGTCTTTGATCAGGCAGCCATGGTGCGCCTCGTACTTCTCCTTGATGCCACGCAGCACGGAGATCGTTTCCTCCACCGTCGGCTCCGTCACGAGCACCGATTGAAAGCGGCGGGCAAGTGCGGCGTCCTTCTCAATATGGCGTCGGTATTCATCGAGTGTGGTCGCACCGACGCAGTGCAATTCACCGCGCGCAAGGGACGGCTTCAACAAATTTGCCGCGTCCATTGAACCATCGCCGGAGGCGCCTGCCCCAACGAGTGTGTGCAGCTCGTCAATGAAGAGAATAATTTTTCCCTGCGCCTCAATCGTGTCCTTCAGTACACCCTTCAGTCGCTCCTCGAACTCACCACGGTACTTCGCCCCGGCGACAAGCGAGCCCATATCAAGAGCAAAGACCTTTTTGCCCTTGATGCTCTCTGGCACCTCACCACTCACAATTCTCTGCGCCAGTCCCTCGACAATTGCCGTTTTGCCCACACCGGGTTCACCAATAAGCACCGGATTATTTTTTGTGCGACGGCTCAAAACTTGAATGGTGCGTCGAATAATCTCCTCGCGGCCAATGATAGGGTCCAGCCGACCCATACGTGCCTCATCGGTTAAGTTACGTGCGTACTTATTTAGAAACTCGCCCGGTGGTACCGCTTGCGGATTCACCCATGTACGTCCCTGCTGCTGATTGTCGTTGTTATTCCTGTTATTGTTGTTGTTGTTGTTGTTGCTGCTCCACGGAGCCACACTCGATTGGAGGCGTCGCTGCATGCCACAAGCCGTTACAAGTGGCGGCGAAATAACTGCCGCACGCCCACAACAGCGCACCAGGGCTGCTGTGGCCGTTGTGGCCGCCACCCCGCAACGCAGAGCCAGTCGACGCATCATTTGCTGTTTATATTATATAATATATATGTGTGTGTATGTGTGTGTCTCACAATTTTTGATTTTTATTCTTCTCTTCCCTCCCGTGCTATCACCCTCTCCCGGTGTGCAAAGAGATTGACCGACAGATGGATGGATTATTTGGTATGTGTGTTGTATGCGAGTATCTTGACTGATGTGTCGTTTCCTTCTTTCCCCTCTTCCCAGTTTGATGATTTTTTATTAAAAATGGCAAAAGTCACCAATTCAAGAAAAAGATAATGTGGAAAAAAAGAAAAACAAAAAGGAGTATACATGTAAAGAAAAAAGTGCTGAAAAAGCAGCAGTAAGAGTGGGGAAGTCAAATATATATATATATATATATATACAGGCCACTTCTCTGGGGGGCGGGATCGGTGCTGCCAAGGGAAAACCGTCTCGGGCCCAAGACACATACACACAAGAGGAGGAGAAGACAGATTACAAACACCACAATTGACATTCCCCCTCCGTTGGTTCCTATATCGAAATTTGGAATCGTCTTCTCTCCGGGTACTGTACATAAGAAATGCCTCACAATGAGGGTTCCTCCCATTCATTTCCTTCATACATCTTCAAATCATCACCGCCAATATCATCACCCTCGTCTTCTTTTTGACTGTCGTTCCGTTCTCCGCTGACGCTGCCACCATCCGAGACGCTAGTGGCGGGGCCACCACCTCGTGGCGGGGCAAAGAAGCCCAAATAGACCCCAGGCTGGTCATTTTGCCGCGATGAATCGCCTTTACCATCGCCCTGCCTCTTTCTGGCCTCGCGCTGTGCGTCACGGTCACGAATTTGCCGTGTCTCGGCGTACTTCTGCGCGAGTCCATCAAGCGTGTCGCGTAGTTCACTGTACCGCGCCTGGTAAAGCTCCGTCTGCTCGCGGAAGTACTTCAGGCTTGCCATCATCGCCCGCATCTGCCCCGCCTTCTTTGCCAGGTTGCCCTGATACAACGTGATCTGCTCCGCCATTTCCGGCCCAAGCTGTCGTGCCACGGCCGCCTTGCACTGCAGGTAAGACTCCTCCTGCTGCTTAATGCGCTGCTCCTTCTCCGCCAGCTCCTGGCGCCGCGAGACGAGTTCACGTTGCAGCGCGTTGACCTTTTCTGTCAGCGCATACGCCTCCGGATCTGACGACGAGAGCTGGTGGTTCGGATGGAGATTCATCGGCCGCTCACACTCGTGCAAAAGTGCACGCACGCGATTCTGCTCACGCACGAGTTCGCGGGACGCGACATTCACAAGTCGCCGCAGGTCCGGCAGCCGTTCGGCAAAAAGTCGTAATTGCCTTACCTCCTCCGTCAGCCGTGCGATGCCGTCGTGCAGCTCGTTGATGGTCCGCAGCCGCTCCATGTACATGGACTCACCACGCTGTAGAAGGGACTGTTGGACACGCGCTTTTTCATACAGTCGCGCCAACTCCTCGCTTGAGAAGTAGACTTCGTTGTCAAAAAAATCCCGCTCCTTTTGTACATCGCAGAGGCGGCGGCGTTGACGCCCCAATTCCTCTTCACCCTCCGCAAAAACATCGCCGAGGCGTCGAACCTCAAGCGCGTACTGTTGCACCGATCGGCTCCGCTTATCCAAGCGTGTGTGTAGCGCAGCGATCTGAACTTCCAGCTCTCGCCGTTGCCGGGTGAGAGTTTTAATGACGCCATCCTCGGCGGCCAACCGCCTCTCGCGTCGCTGCACCTCCTCCTGCATTTGTTTAATCTGCGCCAGCATCACTTTGAAGCCACGCACCATCTCCGCCAGCTCCCCGCGAACCTGCCCATAGTGCTTGGCATACGCCTTACGCTCGTTGAGTATGGTCTCTAGCAAAGTCTGCTGCTGATGAAGTCTAGACTCCACATCCTTCACTTCATCCAGCGCAACAGCCAACTGCACCTCACGCTCCTGCGCCTCTGCCATAATGCGGGCGCACTGGATGGTGGCAACCTTAATTTGCTCCTCATACTCTGTGCACTCCCGTGTAAGCTTGTAGATGACCTCATTCTGTCGCTGGGCCTGTTCCTCGTATGAGCGCAGTTCATGCTCCAAGTGGTGGGCCTCCGTGCGCTGCTCCGAAAGCCAGATACTCTGCTGTTGCGTCTTCTCAGCAGCAGTAAGGACATTACCATGTAATACGTCCAGCTCCCGCACCTGTGTGGCGATTCGCCTCTCCTCCATGTCAACGGCGCGCAAGGCGGCGGCGACTTCTTCTTCAAGCAGGCCCAACTCCGATTGCAAGCCCGAAAGTGTCGCCTCCGCCTCCGCGCGTCGGCCCTCCATCACAGCATGGCGGCGTGTGGAGGCCTCTAATAACTTCTTCTCCCGACGATGGGCACGACTAACGGACTCCACCGCCGACTCCTTTATCTTCAGCTCCTCCATAAGTTCATTCATACGCCGTTGTAGCGCGTCGTTCTCCTCATTGCAGGCTTGACTCGTGCGGTTCACGTTCTGTAGCTGCCGTGAAAGTTGCTGGTAGGACTCTGTAACCCGCGCTGTCTCTTCCAGTGTCAGTTTGATCTCCACATCATGACGGGCATTTTCGTCGGTGAGCTGTTCAATCACCGCCTGTCGTTCCTGCGCCGCGGCGGCACGGCGGGCAATCTCCTCACGCGTCAGCCGCAACTCCTCCTCCTTACGCAGTCGCACCGATTTATGCGCCTCCGCATCATGTAACTTTGCCTCTATCGCTTTTACCACGACGCGAACCTCATCGTCACGGCTGCGTTTCACCTCCAAAAGCCGCTCCAGCCGTCGCGCGTTGCCGGCACACTCCTGCCGCAGCTCGGCAAGTTGATATTCCATCGCCTCCTTCTCCTTTAGCACCGTCTCATGAGCACGGATGAGGCTTTGCAGCGCCGCTTCTTGTGCCGTTAACTCCACAGGACGACTTGCGCGCTCCTCAATGTCCTGCAGATCCCGCTTGAGATCATTCACCTTGTCCTTCAGCACCGCCTCCCGCTCCTTTGTTGCGACGGACTTTTTCCTGGTTTTCTCAATTTCCGCCTTGAGGAGCTCAATGGTGGACTTGTCACCACGCGTCAGCTCCTCCGCCGCCTGCACCTTCATTGTGCAGGACTCGATGTCAGACTGCAGCCTTGCACACTTCTTCAGTAGCCGCGTCTCACCATCGTGGCTCTTCAAAAAGGAATGATGGAGCGCGGCGTATTCCACGCGAAAGGCCTCCAGCACTTCATCGTTCTCAAGGCTCATCAACACCTCTTGAAACTGCCGCTCGTAGTATTCAAAGTTGCGGTTCTCAGCACTTATTTCTTTGAAAGCGGTCACATCGGCGGGTGTTTCGGCGCCCAACATTATCACCTCATCCCCTTCCACAGAGGACAAATCGCTCATATTTTCCAAACCCCTCAATATCTCCTTCGCCCTCTCTCTCTCTCTCTCTCTTTTTATAAATAGATATAATGTTGGGAAAAAGTGAGGAAAACGTATGCTTCTTTTGTAAAAATAGGTGTATCTGGGGCTGTGTGTATCTATTTCCCACCACCAACTTCACCTTCCTAGTAAACACTGCAAGTGATAGTGCGTCCAGAAGAAACAAGAAAAAAAAAGAAAAATGGAGAAGCCAAACCAAAAGGGGTTGCAACTGAGCTGCATGCTGCATGGGGCAGATGGACCAGAAAAAGGCATGACAAACATGCATGGCTCACTCTTACTTGTTTGGCGCTTCAGCCTGAGTGCCGTCCTTTGCGGTTGCAACTGCAGTGCTCCCGTGACTATACATCGAATGGGATGACGTTCTCACGAACCCATTCCTTTACACATTCAACATCCGGCCGTAGCGACGCTGGCCAGTTTACATGCTCCAGTAGCAGCACCAACTCCGCCAACCTGGCGTCTTCGCATTCGTCTGGCAATAGACGCCGCTCGTGCGCCACGCCCAGAAGCTGCTGCTGCAAATCACTCTTAAAGCGGTTGATGTCGTAGAGCAACTCCTGTACTGTCTTCATTTCCTCCGCGGTACTGGCCTGTTCCTCGTGGCACAACTCGATACGCTTCTGAAAGAGGTCCTGTTGCTCGCGGAGGTACAACATGTCTGTCCGGCACCGCTCCATCTGTTCATTCGACGTGACTGCCTCAACAAGAAAGTGCTCGCGGGCTCGTTGGTTCCATTTAATAATAGAACGCGCATGGTAGTTGGCACGAATACCAAGCGCCTTCATCTCGCGTGTTCGCATAGCGGACTCCCACCACGGTTGGCCGGCGTCGCAGTTTTCGATGACCGACATGGCCGTAACGCACTCGCTGATCTTTCGCAACGAGGCTTCCATCGCCTCCACTTCATCCCGCAGTCGACTGGCGGGGGCAAAGCGAGGCACATCCGGCTCCTCCGCGTAGTCGCTGACAGACTGCTCGTCACTCAGCCCCTCGTCGGCAGCCGCGAGACGTGCACGGTGAATCTCATCATGCAACTCCTCCGAGACGGCCCCCTTACGCGTCTCTTCCTCCGTAGAGATCTGTTCTCGAGGCGGGGTGCGTCGCAACTTTGCAAGAAACTGACGACGTGAGCGGAGCTGCAGTAGCCGCATGGTAGCCGCCCCGGGCATATCGGGCCGACCCAAAACGCCGTCTGTATTTATCGCAGCCCGAATTTTACCGCCAACATGCGCAAAGTCCAAGTCAAGCTTTTGCAGTATCTCATTGAGGCCGCCGCATACATGGCGGATCCTGGCCGTGTTCTGTCGTTGTTCTGCGAATATCGGCGGCAAACGTCGCGTTCTTGGAGAAGCCGACGAGGAAAGAGACCCCATATTGGCCCGACGGCCATTTCCAGTACTAATATGAGATGGGGAGGACGGAAAGCTCGGAGAGTGCTGCGACTGCGACTGCAGATGTTCAGACGACTCGTGGTGGCCCCTCCCTGCAGTCCTGATGGTGTTCAACTGGGCCAATATGGAGTTACGCACGGCGTCCTTGCTGGGGGGAGGCTCCGGAGTCCACATCGTCACAGCAGAATTAATAATCAGGCAAATAAAAGAGAGAGTGAGAGTGAGATACCTCTGCAGGCAAAAAAAAATAATTTAATAATAATAATAAATAAAAAGGACAAGGTGAAGAAACGGCAATGCGGCAGAGACAGCATAAAAACCCCTGCTAGGGTGCACACGCACACACACACAAAAAAAAAAAAAAGAGAAAGAAAGGGAAAGAGAAAGGGAAAGAGCGAGAAGAGAAAATGACGCTCATATGTAAAAAGTTCTAATGACTCACGCCTCATCAAAAATAGCACAAATTTTTATTTTCTTTTTTATCTTCCTCTTGTTTAGTAAAAGTCAAGCACCAGCATCGACCCCATCAGTGCAAAGACGGAGCTCTCCAAAGCCGCCACCGCGCGCTGACATCGCAGCGTTTCAGCAATCACCTCCCCTGTATCCCCTCTTATGCCTGCTGTCAAGGAAAGACCCGCTGCAACGCTCGTTGCCGCCGTGGACGAAGCGGCACAACAATTATTATGATGATTATTATTATTGTTACTACCAGTAGTAGTAGTAAACGATGCCACTTTACTCGTCGCCGTCTGCCTTTCCACTGAAAGCCGTGCAAGGGCAATACGAAGAGCCTTGGCAACCTGCATGCTCACTGCTGGTAGCAGATCCTTCTCCATGCTGCACCCCCACAAGAACACGGAGTTCTTCGGTTGACGGTCTGCCATAACACCGCTCTTCGGCACCTCCTGCTGTCGAACATATCCGTCGCGCAACATAGCGTGCAACACTTCACGGGTCCGGGAAAGCGTGGCGATGGCCTCTTCAGCCAGCATGCGGTCCTCCATGTTGTGGTGTTGCAGCAGCAATTTCATAAGCCGCACGCCCAGCACCCCGTGTCGCGCAAAAACAAGACGCTCACAACAATCTCGCTGCATGGCCTCTATGGCGGCATCGTAACGGAAACGGTATGGGCCTTCAATAGCCACGGTGGCAGTGCCATCATTGCTCAGGAGAGAGTCGCCGTCGGGACGACACATGCGGCTGACAGCCTCCACGACAACACCCTCCGCCATTGGGACCTCCCGCAGCAGAACACGCAGGGGCAGTGAGGCGCTTGTGCGGGGATGAACGGGGGGAAACCCGTGCGAGCGCTCCACTAAACGGCGGGTACGAGTCGCCGTCGTGAATGCCTCCATCACAGCAGCCGCCACACCGCCATCTGCAAAACGTTCGGCAAGAAGTTGTTGCTGAATAGCGTCATGCAGCATCTCGGCAAGGATGTTGCCAACATGGAGGCGGCAGGGATCCGGTGAGAGACCTGTTGAATGAGTTGTTGTCGTTGCCGCCGCCTCAGCGCTCCCTCCTGCGGAAAAATATTCAATGAACCCTAGCCGCTCCATCTCGTGCGCGCAGTGTCGCAGGGCCTCGCTGAGTGCTGGTCGCCGCTCCATCGCCAGCCGCACCGCCGCATCCCGCGGCACCGTCGCAAGTTGATAGAACACCATCAGCAGCGTCACCCCCGTCTCACCGTAACGACGCTGAAAAAATTGCATCACCAGCGGAAACAGAGTACGCAAAAAAAGGCCGTAGCCAAGAGCAACGCTATAAACGTGATTCTCCGTATCGTAGCACACAACACGATGTAGCACGAGCCGTGCCATAATCTCCTTGATTGCTGCATCCGTTGCCATGTCACCCGCCGTCACAGGGACGGCAAGCGGACACCCGATGTGCTTCGTCGCATCGCCAGTATGGAGTGGATTGTTAAACGGCTCACGCTTTACAGCATCCGCAACTTCTTTTAGCGTCAAGGGGCCGCGCCGGTTAAGTGCATGCACGAGAAACCCCGCCAGTGGGCCCAGCTGCTCGCTGATACTAGACTCCAGTAACTCCTGATGCTCCGTCAGTATTCGCGCGTGCGTGTCGTGGTGACCATCATGCCGCCGCGTCATCGCACCGTCCTCTTCCCCTTCCCCTCGAGTCAAACGAACACACACACACACACAAGCGTGTGGAAACAGAAGTAAAAGAGGCTTCCGGGGAACAATAAAGGGGCGTCCCCCGTCTTGTGCGGCCGTAGGAAAGGCAAAAATAAAATAATATGATATTTTTAAAAAGCTAATGCAAAATAAAAATAAAATAAAAAGAGTAACGTTGATTGCCACAAGAAAAAACAAATATGACGGATCAAAAAGAAGAAGAGAATAAAAAAAAAGAAGACCACAACAGAAAAAAAAGAGAAAAATTCCTTCGTAAATTTCGTCTCTGTGATTCACCAATTATTCTTCCAAACACCATCAGACCGTCATTATCAATCATCACGCACAGTAAGACTGCGTGATATTATTTGCAAAACCCATCCCATTTGGAGGGTTTCACATGTGGTAATTCCCTAATTTTACTCTTTTTTGCATCCTCCCACCACCAATCCCCTTAATAGTATTAGTTAATACTCTCCACCTGGTTCTCTTCGTCTCTTTTCGTTGCTTATAAAGCCTCTTATCCTCTTTCTCTATTGCCTTTCGTTTCCTCCCCGCCCCAACAAAAACACACACACACACACACACAAATAGTCCAACACGCCTTCCCCTCCAACTTGCCCTGCAAAAGGCAGTGGGTCTCCTCCCTTCCCCCCTTCGTGGGAAATTAACAACAAGTCAGATTGGAAGAAGCTTAACAAGTTTTCAACAGTTTCCTTTCTGCGTTACTGCTGTTCATAAGCTGTATAAAAAATTCGGTCATGGTGTACGAAAAAATAAGCTTCGGGGCAAATGCGACCACTTTCGGTACAAGGCCTTTAAACAATGCAGAACAGCCCTCTTCCCGCAGCAGCTGCGAGAGTATCGTGACGGCGCCCATCCTGGCGCCAGGGTCCTTGTTCTGCACGCGTGTCTTGATGACGTCCATTGGGTTCGTCACGGTGATGCTTAGACAGGCGCCTACCGTTGAGGCACACACGTTCTGAAAAAACGTCGCCTTGCGGTATTCTTGAAGGCCGAATACAAACTCCTTCGTAACGGCCATGCCGCCAAAAAGACAGAAGGAGCCGGGGGCGTTGCGAGTCATTGTGACCACAGTGCCTGCGTACATGCCACTGATACCCTCTTGGCGCAGCAACTGAAGCAGACCATGGCGCAGTGCCGCCTCGTTGGTTTGACTGAGCACCTTAAGGCGATCCAGTGGTAGTAGAATAACTTCTCCAACCCCAATGATGGATCCAGCAACGGATTCCATCATCAACTTGTCACGACGACCAAAGGTATCCGTGAAGCTTTGTTGATTGTGAGTCTGCAGATGGTCCCGCACTAATGGCTGCCCCGCAAACTTGAAGACACGCTGCAAGATTTTGTAGAAAACAGCATAGGAGGAGCCGGGATAAAGGTACAAGATCTTCTGTGCCACACTGGCATCCGCCCTTGAACTGAATATTGTGGTGTTCAGATTCCGCAAGGTATCTGCAAATGAGACGCCCTGAATGCGAGTGCGGTTACTCATGAGTCGCTTCGAGACAGTGTCAAAGGGATGAAATAAGGCAATCTCAAACGCACCTGCCATTGTGGCCGCGCCAGCGTGGCCCTTAAATAGCTTCATAAAGAAAGAAGGACTTGTTTGTTTCTGTGGCGGCAGGTGATCTTGTGGGACTACAGACGCCCTGGCGTTCATTTTGACCTCAAGCTTGAACCACCCTAACCCTCAAACCACAGTTGTTCTCTTCTTGACAAAATGCACAAATGGTGACCGTCAATCCGGTAAATTGTGATGATTTACGGTTGTGGTTATTGTTGAAAATCCAAGAAAAAGAACAAAAAAAGAATTTGTGTGTGTGTGTGTGTGTGTGTGTGTGCTTGGAAGTAAAAGCGGGTTGAGAAATAGAAATGTCAAAATAAATCCGCGCCCCGTCTTCCCTTCGACACGCTTTTGTTTGTTTTTTTGTTTTTTCTTGCTGTATTTGTTTTTAATATTATTATTATTGGCATGAAAGTCCTGTTTCTGCAAGTCACAGCAGAAGACATGTATGCACATTTTCTTCTATTCGTGTCGTTAGCTCCGGCTCAGTCCTCTAGTGGAGGTGATGGTGGTGGAAATTCGTTTTCATCATACTCTTCTTCTTCTTCCTCGTCGTCGTCGGGCGGCGGTGGGGGCGGCGGCTCCTCGTCGTCGTCTTCTTCAAAGTCAACAATACCAAATTTATTGCCTTTATCCACGCCGCTGCTATCCAAAGGACTGTCAGCTCCGTCGTTAAGCTCGTCCTCATCAGGTGGTGGCGGCGACGGCGGCGGTGGCGGAATTTCATCCTCAGACCCATCCTCGTCGTCATTATTATTACTATTTTTGTTGTTGCCATCGTCAACGTCCGCATCTGCCGCCTTCGTACCGCCATTGCCGCTACGCTCGCCGCCGTATCCCCCCTCACCAATTACAGGGTGGGATGCGGCAGCTGCTGCAAGTGCCGCCGCGTTGCCCACAGGGATGTCGTCATGAACGGCAGCCCGAAACACACCACCATACCCCGCCGCGCGCAGCGACTTCGGCAGAGTTCCCGTCTCATTGAGTTCCGCCACCTCCTCGTACGTGCCCACTAGCACGGGGCCAACAAAGCAGAGCGGTAGCTGGAACTTTGGAGTCATTCCGCCGCCGTGTTGCTTTCGCCACCCGATGGCCTCCTGTTTGGCCAACAATTCCTGCACAAATGTCCGCATCTCAAGCGAGTCAACAAGCACAACTGACACGGCCACACCAAACGCGTCAAGCAGCGCTAACATACGGCGACAATTGTCGGCTGTGCGCCGGACCGCCTGCATCGCCGTCGCATACACTGTCACTTCCTGCATCCACCCACCCCCCTTCCTACTTTCTCTCTCTCTCGCAAAAGAGCATTGGGTACATGCGTGGTATTTGCAGCAGCAGCAGCGGCGGCGGCAAGGAAAAGAAAAAGGAAAAGAAAAATTTAAAAAAAAAAAGGATTGCATCAAGAAAGAGAAAGAAAATCGCGTTCTACCCCCTTCTCCTCACATTGTCGTCAATCCCGTGACGGAATTCGATCACTGGCAGCCTTCACTGTCAAAAAAAAAAACGTTATTCCGGCAACTTTTTTCCCTTTTTCTTTTTTTCATGCCTTTCTCGTTATATTTACTCGTCTTAAACCTCCCATGGAACCAGAGACGCTGTAGCCTCGCTTTTTCTTTTCCTTGTCCGAATCCCATCGGCGGCAGCAAAACAACATGTAAGGTTCGTTTTTGTTTTTGTCCTTCTTTCAAAAAAAAAAAGGGTTAAAAAAGAAACAAAACCGCATTCTCGCCTCTTCCTCCTTTTTCTCAGCCGCATTGGACTTGCAACATAAAAACACAGAGAGAGAGAGAAGGGCAAAAACACATATCGCATCCTCTCTGCTCAGTTTTCCGCATTGCCGTCCGCTGCGTCTCCACCGGCGCGACCGGTGAGGCTCTTTCGCTTCTTCGACCGCGCCTTATCGAGTAATCCATCAACGGTCTTCATGACATGCTGCTGCGCCTGCAATGACCCCATGAGCTCGCGGTACTTCTGCGTGCGCTGCGACTCCTCCGCCTCCGCTGCCCGTTCGCGCTGCCGCCGCTCGACATTTGCCTCTGCCTGCAAGTGACGCACGACGCGCTTGTGGTCCTCCCGCATCTCCCGCTTCATCGCCCGCACTTCATTCTTCAGCGCCGTTGTCGTTCCCTCCTGCAGCAATGGCTCAAACTGACGAATGGGGCGTGGGCGGAAGGAACGCATCGCAAGCGGTGTGCGACGATCACGTGCGTCATTGGCTAGTTGCGTCAACTTCGCAAGGAGGGCATCGTGGTCGCCTCGTACAGACGCAGACGGTTGCCACACGTCGGTCGCAATGAGTTTCTCGTGTAGGGCGAGAAATGGCTCCTTCAGACAATACGAAAGGGCCGGTACTCCACGGAGGGAATCTGCCATTAGCGAAAGTAGGCGATAAGCGTAACGCACCACATGTGTACTGTTCACTTCCGTCTCTAGTAAAGCAAAGGTCGCCTGCAGCGGCGCTTCTTCCGCGTCGCTCGGGGTATCCGTGTTGGTGTGCAGGAGAACATCTTCTGCCCCGCCGCGTTCCACAACTGGAAATGGCACGCAGACACCTTGCAGACGCACGGGCTCCAAAACCGACCTCGGTACCTGCAAGGCGATGAGGTTGAGCGGGGCAATGATGGACTCCGCGCAAAATTTACCACCGGCCAGTACACTTTCACACAACAGACCGGCGAGTACCGTATACTCCCGGACTTGTGCGAACGTTTTCAGTCGCATCTGCAACAATGCTGAACAAAGAAAGAGGAGAAACGGTGTTGACACCTCGTGACGATAATCTGTCATGGGGAATATGCGGGAGGCGGAGTGCAGGAGTAAAAGCGTAGCCCGGTCCAGTGAGCCGTGTTGCAGGAAACTGCGCTGAGCCTCAATAAGGAGAAGGCGAAATGTTTGTGCGGTGTGCAAAACGTGATCGCGAGCGTACTGGTAAAGACTCCGCAGCAGCGCATAGTATTTGCGAGTTCTTTCAGCTCGCGAGGCACGTGTCCCGTCTGCCTCACGACCAAACGCCTCAATTGCAGACAACAACTCCTCCAGACGTGTCCTTGTCCCTGTGGCAACGTCAGCAGCCCTGCCATCCGCATCAGCTGCCGTGACATCATCAGCATCGTCATTCACCCCCATCGCCCCATCCAGCAACGCCACCTCGTCGCTATCGCACACAGAGGAAATGTCAAGAGAGTCCTCCACCTCACCGCCATAGTCATCATTGTCATCCTCGTCCTGCATTTGGTACGCGCGATCCCCACCCCGGCTTAGCCACTCCGCACGTGTCAATTGTGTTTCTTCTTGCGCGAGAAGTGGCACGGCACCACGGTCTCTCTCAAGCAATGCCTGCTGATCAAGTTGTGCCTGTTCCTCCTCTTCTGTCCGTGTACGCTCACCAGCAACTGCGCGCCTCGTTTCACGCTGCATAGAAAGCATAATGCGATCAAAATCATCCTTATCCTCTTCACCATCTTCAACGCCGCTGCTCTTCCTAACGAGTGAATCCCCCTTCACTTTGGGCTCTTTCTTCTGCAGAGTGTGCGAGGAAAGTGCCGAGTTTGTGATTACATCCTGCTCATCCGCCTCCTCGCGTATCTTTTTCAGCAGTGCCATACTCGCCTCGTCCAGGGAAGGCGCACCAGTCTTCACTCTAGTTTTATTGTTATTGCCAACGAGCGGCGCAATGGTAAAACTGCCATCACTTCTCAGCGAGACCGTCTTCGCTACGTGGTTCTCTCGAAAAGACTGAAGCAATGCTCGCACCTGTGGTGTTCCAATGCGTGCAAAGGCCTCGCGCTCTTCCTGTGCCTTGTCCCTCCGCTCCAGTAAGTGCATCACACCATTGAACTCCGCATCAAGGGCAGTCGTTCGCTGCGCGCGCTCCTCACGATCACGCTGTGCCTGTGCACGGTGCTCTTTGCTGTTGGCAAGCACCTCCCGAAATCGCTCCTCACGTGTCTTCTTCCGCTGCGGTTCACCGCTATCATTCCTGCCGTCTTTATTCAGATCACCGCCGTCATCGTCGTCCCTCGTGCGGCGGGTGGCCCCGAGCAGTCCTGCACCAAGTGACTGTGACACAGAGGACCGGCCATTGTCATCGAGACGAAATTTCTCCGCACGACGCGTACTGCGGGAGTCTGCCGCATGCATCCCAATGCGCCGTGAGGACGCAAGACCAAATGTCGCCGTCGCCGTTGTGGCCAGACGTCTCCCTGATTCCCCACCTGCCGAATTGTTCCCAGCAGCGGGCGGCCGCTCAAAGCGACTAAGAGTCACTGACGATGGAATATTCGTCATTCTAGTAGCGATATCATTGGTATTAGTACTGCTCGCTGGCAGCAACGATGATGTCACAGGCTGTAGTGCCTCCTGCACATTAATCTCCTCCTGGCGTAGTTGAAACCGGCTTTGCTTGGAGCTGAAGCGCGCTGCCGATGCCTTTGCCTCACGAGAAGCCTTTCGACGTTCATGCCGCTGCACAATTTTCGCATGCGATGCTGTCCGGCGCATTTCTCACCGTCTTTTTTTTTCCCAACCCTTCTTTTTTTTCTCTTCTTATCCTCTTTCTCTCTTTTTCCCTCAGTGTATTATTTATGTTCTCCGCTGCCTCCTGCCTCCTGCACTTATGCCGCAGAAAAATTATTGGTTTTTCCTTTTTTATATCACCTAACACCCTTAGGGGGGGAAATTTTTTAGGACACAACACCCAAAGAGCAGTCAAATGCATGCATGAGTATACATAAATACATGTGTGTAGTGTAAAAACGTGAGCGGGCGCACTGTCTCCCACCAGAAGGGGAAACAATAAAAACCATACCGATAGGCCATCATAATCATCATGAAAGCAGGCGCAAATACAGAAAAGAAGATAAACAGAAAAATAAAAATGAAAAGGAAGAAGAATGAAAAACTCACTACAACACCATCTGACCAAGGAACAGACGTCGTCATTCTTATTCTCTCACTCCCTTCCAGCTCCCCACCCACGCTTTATTTTCTTACCCTCAAAACATTTTCTGCTTCTGTTGCTGCCTCTTCTACGCCACCTCCATACAACCATACCCTCCCTCTTGCCCTCCCTCACACACCCATTATGGCTGACCGCCATCGGCCTCACTATAAGATGCAACCATTCCCTCTGCGCACCGTTTCAGCAGCGCCACAACAGGCCCACACTGCAACACATCCGCTGCCGCTGGAAGTGCTGTGGGTAATGATTCTTCGGCGTCGGCTATGTTTCTTGCCGCAGCGTTACTTTTGATGTAGCACTGCAAAACAGACATCACCTCCGCCTCGCAACCAAGGATCCGCGACGGAACCAAATATTTGTAGCGGGCCTCCTCAATGCTGTCCAGAACACCGTGTACCGCCGCCTCTTCCTTGAGCAACTTCTCCCGCTCCTCTTTCACCACAGGCTCTAGTGTCTCATCATCTTTTAGTGGTTGCATGTTGACAACAGGCAGAGGACGTTTTTTCTTCACCTTTGGACTAGCAGCTGCAGTAGTGGTGGCAGCAGCAACAGTGGCAGCGACACTAGAAGCATCGATACCAGAGGCCACTGAAATTGTACTTTTCGTTGTGACTTTCTGTGGTACCGCTTGTGACGGCTTTGAAACAGCTGTGGTCGAACTCCATCTCATTGGGGAAGGCCGTGGGCCGCTGAGAAACCAAGAGATTGGGTCATACCACCTAAAGGGCCGCCGCGCCTCCGCGTCATCCTCTGGGCGATGAATGACAAGGAGGTCGCGCGGAGGTACAACCAGCCCACGCACCCCAAAGACGTCCGTCTCTTTCGCACCGCCAAGTCGCACAAGCAAAAGCCCAAGCTTTATTTGCCGCTCACGCTCCTCACGCGACACGGTGACACCGCCGTTACCGCCCCCAGCCGAAGAAACCCCTACAGCGGTATTAGCAACGCTATTAGGAGTATTATTTGCGCCAGCGTCTGGCGTGGGTTCCTTTTCAGTCACCATCGCCGCAGGGGCGTTAATCTCTATATTACCAACAGGGGGTGCGGCAAGATTGGGTAGTGATGGCGCAGTCGCCACAGGCATGATGAGGACGATAGCGTCAATAAAATATCACCAATGACAAGGCGTCCCAAATATTGGGGTTATTATATGTCTATCTACCTCACGGATAAACCTTGCAGGTTTGTATTATAAATACATGCGTGAGGAAGTGAAAAGAAAAGAAAAAAAAAATGGAAGAAAATGGAATAACCAAGAGAAACAAACATGCAGCAACACGTTATTTTTTTAAAAGAATACTCCATGAATTGTCTTTCCCTGGTAGAGAGATCGGAATTTTTTTTAAAAAAGTTTTTTGACATTTCCCTCCGCTTTGCCTTTTCTTGATGAAATGTATTTTATACATTCAAAAGCTAAGCGTCCACACTGGATTCCCGTTCACCTTGATCATTAAATAAAGACAGAAAGGGTAATTTTTACAGTGCGTTAAAAAAAAAAAAGGTGTACTTGCATGTATTTACCGGAAATAGATTTTTCGGGCCATTTTCGTAATCTCTAAGAAATTATATTTTAAAAAGCGTCCTGAATCGCGTGAAAGTGGCCAATAAAAAACAATGGCATCAATACCCACTCTGAAAGCCAAATGAGAAATTTACGCTGGGTCCGTTAGAAGGAATTTTGTAGCACGATATTATCACCGCCTTGGTATTTTGTCAATGTTACTATTTTCCAAAGGAATATATAGATAGATAGATAGAAATATAGATAGACATAGATAGATATAGATGTATGTCAAGTTCCCAAAGTGGATATTTTTTCATCCATTGAGAAAAAAGAAAATAAAACAGTACGCACAAAAAGTAGAAGAAAAGAAAGACATAACATGAACAGCACCATGTGTTATTATCTTTTCGGTTTTATACGCATACTTCATCCTCCTTATCTACTGTATCAGCTTTGTTCCTCTCGGCAGGTGTGTTGCGCATCCTACGTGCCTCTTCGTACTGCCATATGCCGCCCATCACAAAGGTAACACCCACAAAGTGTAGGAATCCAAACGGCTTTGGGTATACAATGTAGCTGCAGAGCACCGTCATCATCTTGCGCACACTTGTAACCATGGCAGCGGTGCTGCTGTTATACTCAGAGACGATACGCAGCAGGAAGAAGGTACCGCTGTAGCTAAAGAAAGAACAGCCAAGCAACAAGGTGATAAACACGTGGTGCATGCTCACAAACTCCACGGCATCAGCAAAGCCTCCGCTCAGGGCCAATGAAAAAAAACCATTGATTACTGAGAATAGAAAAATATAAAATTGCACCTCCTCATGTGATGCATTGTGCTTCATGAAGCAATACTTCTCCTCACCCAAGTAAATGAGGGCATCACAAAGTAACGCAAGCAAAATACCTGTGACTCCTGAAATGACCGGCCACCAACCCTCCTCTTTCAATGAACCCTTTTTCTTGTGCGTTTCCTTCGTGGCGTATGTAAAAATGAGAAGACCCACAACAACAATGATACAAGATAACACTTCCTTCACAATCTGTGTATTTTCCATCGCCACGATTCCATTCACACTGGTTTCATTACTATTATTGCCTGCGGAGAAATTTACGGCAATATCGCAGTTATTGATGTGGCCACCTATGTCAGCAGAACCCAACGGAATTTCTTTCGTTGATACCCGGCCTTCCACCATCGAGTCCAATACTTTCACAGAGACGTGTCCACATTGCTTTTCAGGAGAAAGAGCTTCAGTATGGGAGCTACGCCGGTAAGTCTTCGCCCCATGTTCAGCGCATTTCAAAGCCTTACGCGCCATCCCAAGACGTGCTGGTAGTTCAATCGCGATGTAACGCACAAGCCATACAATAAGCAGCTTGCTGGACTTGAACACCACTTGTGTACTGAAACTAAGAAGACGTGATGCTTCGTTCGTTAGGTACACGCTTGTGGTGTTCATCAAAGAAATCGCGAAGTACGTAAAAAGTGGCACACGGCGTGAGTCCACGATTCGTCGCCAAGGCGATGAACTGCTTGGGACGGACAATGAGCGACAAAGTTGAACAAAGGCAAAAAAGGATACGCACAGCGCCTGTGAAAAGGTGAGCAGCAGCGTGTGGTGAAAGCCGGGAATGTAAAACACCGCCTCCTGCACTAAAGACGTCAAGACGTGAAATAAGAGCACGCATATACTGAGGACTAAGAGCCGGTTTGTAGATCCCCGTTGCCTTTGAGTTTCGGACATGCCTGTCCACTTCTCGAATAACCCCTTATAATCTCCCTCAAAGTACTCCCTCTTTGTCAACCAAAAGACAGCAACAAGAAGCACCTACACAAAAGCAGCAAGAAAAGGGAAGCATACAAGGTACACATACACACACGCACACAAATACATCCAATCCCCAATGAGTTCCTCATTATTGACATTATCATACACATCTCCCAATTTGCTTCTGTTATATATTATAATTATTATCACGTTGAGACTTTTCTATTTCCATTTTTTTTTTCGCACTTCTCTTATATGTTTATATTATTAAGCGTTGTGTTGAATCCCAGACACCTCCCATAACGCAATCCTCTTATTGTAAAAGTCGCAAGTAACTACCGAAGCGGCATCATCTGACAGATATTTGTTAGGGGGTGATCTTCGAGGAAGGATGGCGCAATCGTAAAAAAGTGCATTGGGAGGCAATCCAACTGCTTCCGTAGTATTTGTTTCATCGTGAAGATACCCAAGAAAACGAAAAACGTTTTCTTCCGATACGTAAATGTTGTGCTGCACAAATGCCACTCCACGTTGCATGACTGGAATGACAAGGGTACCACTTGGTTGTACCCAACGATAATGATGCATCGCGGACTCTGACTCTGGTCTCAATCCCTTGATAGATAACTGGCGTGAGCAGCGCCACACCCCACCACCCAAACCAATGGAAGTGATTGGCCGTTTTTGTGATCGTGAATCTACCAAAAATAAGTTCTCATCATAGGATCCGACTAAGGAGTATGTAGATGCAATTCCACCTTGAGCGACAGGAGCGATAGAGACTACTCCGGCCCCAAATTGCATTCGACCCACAGCATTTACACCACATCTTACATCTCGCCATTTTAGAAAACCATCATCCCCACCAGAGAGTGCTGTTTCAGGGCCAATTGTGGCGGAACACCATGCATCGTAATCATGGTTTTCCAAACTACTGATAATATTCTTCGTGTTTGGATCATATACAACGACAGCACCTTGATGAGCAGTGCAGAGCCACCTGGCCTGGCACATCCCGATCTCAGAGGAAGAATAAAAAGGAATACAACTAGTCAACGTAGTGCTATGCACGGGGAATATGACCTCTTTAAAGGATCCTTCTTGATGCCCCAGGAGCCGCACAGTGCCGTCCGTGCAACTCGCCATCAAACGGCTTCCGTCAGAAAAAGCATTAAGATCAAAAATACCCGGCAACTCCACTCGTGGAACATTTTCCGATACCAACTTCATCTCCCGTAATGAAGCTATATGTTGATCGTTTACTTCACATACATAGCCGGTGACATAACCACGGTATCCCGCAGTAGTAGATTCAAGGGATAAATCCATAAATTCGTAACAACCAACAATAAAGTCCAGTTGAGCCCCATATGTTGTGGAGTAAACTGGAACAAGGCAGTTACATGTTGACGGAGCTGATACCTCTGATACCCTCCTTACTGACAGCATTACTCCTTTTAAAAACTATTGCTCGCGCAAACAGACATATACATTCACAGACACACACACACACACATACACACACTCTCTCTCTCCAAACTAGTTCGGCAACTCCCCACCATCTCAATAGAAGCAAATTGAGACAAAAAAGTTGATATATATATAACAGAAAAAAACACAAGAATGGGTTATTCATAAATGCCGAAACAGGTTTAAGAAGCATATTTCAAAATAAATGAAAGGAGAAAAACACAACAAAGTTCATGTGAAATTCAATGCAAGGAAGAATTCCATCGCTGCTCGACGTGCACGTTGATTCACATTCAACTTCATTGCAGCAATGTCAGCATCAATATCCATCAAGAAAGTAATTATAAATTGAATAATCTTATTCCTATGCATTGTTTCTACTTCCTCGTGAGAAATCAAAAAACTTATATCATACCCCGGAATAGGCTTTTTTCTCAAGATATGAAACTGTTTGGCTCGCTGAGCTAAAAATCCAACGTACTTTCGGGCAATAATCTCCGCAATAGCGTCGCTCTTGAGAAACGATACAGATATGCGTGTGCTGTTTATACTAGGTTCAATAAGACAACTTTCCTGTTCTGAACGCACAATGCGTATAGGGTTAAGAAGGAAATCTTGTACTTTTCTTTCACCATTATTCTCCAGATGGTCTGCAACCTCAACTTCTGGTTTATTATGACGCTCCACGGTACATGAAGGATAATTCCCGATGCATAAAGCCGCGTGCAACGTACACTTGATGCAGTCGTAGTAAGGCAAATAGGCGGTTGCCATTGATTTACCCTAGAAAGTGTTCTAAAAAGCATCAACGTAAGCAAAAAGGATCCACATCAAATAAAATAAAAAGCAAGTGCACTAAATGCCATAATAAAAGACACATTCAAAATACTTTTTCTTTTCAAGGCTTCATCGCAATACCTTGCGCGAATTCCCATCTTCCACAACTATTATCGTAAATTCTTCTTTGATAACATCGTATGCCCTCAAAAAAAAAAAAAAAAAGAATTTTTTTAAAGAGGATATAGTTCGTTGTTGTTTTTCTTTCACTATTATTCTGTACCATTTTTACATCAAATGCGGCATCGTAAAATTCTACATACGTTGTGCTTTTCTCCGCCTATATTCTTCAAGAAGACGCTGCTGGTATGCCGCAGCTGCATCTGATGAAAACTCCTGCGGTATAAAGTCAAGTCGCCCCCTCCTGGGAGTTGTGTTGGTTCCTGAAACATTAACTCCCGAACATTTCTGTTCTGTCGCATTCCCCTTCAAAGGTGATTCTTCGTTGCTGCGGTTATCACCACTGGGTGGTATTGCAACTCCATTCCTCTCCCGCTCTTTCTGCTCGCGAAATAATCGCAATTGTTCTTTTCTGTAGTCATCACCAGTAGGTTGGTGAACAGAAGCTTCAACCTCGGGTTTAAATTCATTCCAAAGCTGGCGCGCAGTAGTTTTGAACTGTACATTATCACGCCTCCCCATAGATGTATTGTTGCAAGAAACATTAGCAGATGCGGGAACCGCAACTGGAACAAATTTAACCGAGGCGGCATTTCTCTCCCCACGTGAAACAGTGGCTTGTTTTTTTATGCTCTGTACACTCTCCCGAGCCTTTGTCGCACTACGCTGACGAGCTTCCTCTACCGACTGAAGAAGATTGTTGTTCCCAGGGTCGAACTGCAATGCCATTTCATACGCCTCTACTGCCTGACTGTATTTCTTCATCTTGAAAAATGCATCACCTTGACGAGAATAGCCCTTAAACCACGTTGGGCGGAGCTCAACCGCGCGATCCGCATCTCGGATGGCACTTTCAAGAGCTTCAGCTGCTCCTATTTGTTTTGCAGCCTGGAGATAGCAAGCCGACCGATTACTGAACAAGGCAGCAAGCAAAACGGTCCTTGGATCACAAGCACCAAATCCAGATGCAATGATCCCATTACTCTTCGCATTTAGATGACCCTTCTCTCTCAATTGGTAATTACCTTCTTCAAGAAGAAGCTCTATGGCATCCGTGTAGTAGTTTAATGCCTCGCGGTAGCGTCCCTCCCCAAATGCCCGGTTTCCATCGACCTTCAACTGCTCAGGTGAAAGTCCAGCTGTAGATATTCCATTATTTCCCTTACATTGAGGCGTCTTATCTTTTTTTAAAGGCTTCACGTTGGATTCAGATGAATCAACAATCGGAAATGCCGTGCTAGACGTATTGACAAAATTCACATCCAGAGAGGTTTCACGAGTCCGGCCACCGTCCAAACGGCTTTCATTAAATCCTTTCTTATTCCCATTCGCGCCTTTCACCAACAAAGGATCCATTACATCTTCCTCTGTGATACCGAGATGCCGCATAAATTCCAAACGCTCATTGGACATGGTAACCATTTCCCTTGCCAAAAACTTCCAAAACAATTTAGAAAAAAAAAAAGAAAAAAGGTAAAAAGAGGCTTCCACAAAAAGCAAAAAAAATGTTGACGCGTTCCGTGGTAACTCCACGCAAAAAGTTGTGGAACAAGAAAAAAATATATATGTACTGGTGGGCAGAAAAATCATTTTGGGTTGTGAAACTCAATAAGGCTCTTTCATTATTTAAATTCCTACTCGTGTATTACCGCCACATCCAACAACTCAAAAAATGAAATATAATGACCACCCACAGCGAGCCAAATGCTCCTTTGATAGCTTAAATTCACAAAACACACAAGAAATTTTTTTTTAAGCAAAATGATGAGATTGAATTATTCGCATATTGAGATATAGTTATGACGGTGAACCACAAAAAAAAGCCATTAGGATAATTGCCCCCTCTTTGACATTTGTGCAACCCCTGGTGCTTGCCAACGGCACGCTTACTAACACACAGCGCGGAAAAAAAGTATGCCGAAGGAATTAACCCCGAACAACGACAAAAAAAGCAGTCTAAAAAAAGGAAACAAGTTGAATACACTGAGATTCCTTCCCCAAGCCAAAAAGAAATGCTTTTTATGTTTGAAAAAGATAAGAAAAGGCAAGAAACAAACCAACGGCAAAAAGTCACTATTTTCTCGCCGTTCTTCCTTTTCTCTCGCCAGCGCGTTATACGTTAAATTCATTATTATTATTATTATTATTATTATTATTATTATTATTATTATTATTGTTATTATTATTATTATTCAGCGAATTCCAGTAAAATATGCCGCCCATGCTCGCCGCCGCCAAGTCCCTGACTCTCTACAAGGACTTCAACAAGGATGTGAAGGACATGCTCACGAAGAGCTACAGCGATGCTCAGAAGTGGAAGCTGGAGAGTAAATTCAAGGGCCCAGAGGACAAGCTCTTTGTGAACCCCATGGCAACGTCCGATGGCAAGTTCAGCGTGGATGTGGAGTACGCTCCAAGGTGCGGCGCCGCACTGAAGGCGACGCTTGAGCCCAGCACCTGCAATGTCAACTTGACGGCGTCGTACCTCTGCCAGGGCCACAAGGTGGAGGCTGTGGGAAGGAAAAATGGCGAGTATGAGCTCTCCCATGAGTTCGTGATGCCCTCTCGCATGTCGTCGCACGCGAAGTTGGTGAACAAAACTGTGGAGGTGGGCGTCGCGACGGCCGTAGCGCCTCACTGCCAAGTGGGACGCGGTGCGCTTTGCACCCTGGACGGAAAGAAGAACTACGACCTGACGCTCGGCTGCCGCTATGCCTATGCTGGCTATGCACTGGCGGTCCGCACGAACAAGCTGCGCTCGTGCACGACCAGCTTTGTGACGCCGATACCGAAGTGCCCCCATCACGTGCTGGTTGGCGCCGAGGTGGTGTGTGGCCGTGGGCAGGGCTGGACGGGGACCCTGGGCTTTGAGACGGCCTGCGTGCTGTTCAAGGGCAACACGCTGAAGGCACGCGTGAACAAAAACAAGGAGTGGGCGGTTGTGTACATCGCAAAGCTTGTGGACAACTGGACGGCCGCCGTCACTCTTGACAAAAACCTGAAACCCGGGGTACTCCTGACACACTCGTAGGGAACGTCGCCGATGGTGCGGGGGACAAAAGAAGCGAATGGAATGAAAAGGAAGAAGTGATTTACATGAAATTAACGATCGACATGCATCCCTGCGTGTATTAATTATGAAGAAGGTAACGGGACTAGATGCCGACCTTAGCAGAGGGACGCCGCTCTGTGCGTGCAGTTTCTCAGAACGGGGGGGGGGGGGAAAGTAAAAAAGAAAAAACGTTGGGAAAGAGAATTGATTTTTGGGAAGAGCACGACTTTAGGGGGTTAGGGAGCCGATAGCGGGCAGATAATGTTTTATTTTTTATTTTGAAGTTCACAGACACAGCGAGGTTGGTTTAGGGAAATGGCATTGGTTCCTTTTACACCGCCTCCGAGCGGAGCGACATTGACGCCCGTCATTTGGAGTTGGTACGCCAGCATGGCGATATCCAGGCGCAGCTAACATTCATTGACGAAACCGGGGCTTGCGGATGCGACGTTAACTGCGGCCACCCCCATGACAGGGTTACGCTTGATTTTAAAATCTACCACCAAACCCTGGGAGAATTCGAGTCTTACGGGACATGCTGCGCGTCCCCGGGCGCCCCAAGTACCAAATTTCGAGGCCCAAGTGCTTGTGCCCATCGTGTGTGGGCGGCCCGGGAGTTGGGTGTCCAACAAGGGCCGATCATCGCTGAAAGGAAGCGCTGGAGGGCCGACTGCGCCCACGCCGTCGTTGACGCGCAGAATCGAAGCTTTCAGCTTTATTTGCCGGCGGAAGAGGCGCATAATTACTTGTCGGCGCGCGAGTCTGACATTGCGGTCACCGACGGCCTTCTTTCAGAATGGGGATACGCGCTCGCCGGATGCAAACAGCAGCTGGAGGCGACCCGCGCCCAACCCCATCAACGAGGGGCACGCTTTAGTTCCAGAGAGGCGCGGCGAGTCGCGTGAGAGGCGGAGACGGCGGGCCGGGAAGAAGCCTCCGCCACCCGGAGCGGTCTTGCAGAAAGACCAGTCACGCGTCAAAATACGACCGAAGACGGCGTCACCAAACAGCCGCATCAAACGCGTTGCGTGATGGTGGGGGCGCGCCGTTACGCACGGCTCGGCGAAGCTCGGCGGAAGAGAGACGGCAGGCTATTCCCCAGACGTCTCAGGGCAACTTTGGGTGACAACATTCCATCCCTTGATGCCTTTGCCTTCCTGCACCTCCCCCTTGGACGCCGATTCCGGTACAGAAGAAGAGGCACGAAGTTTATGCGCATTTGACGTCGCCACTTGGCCCTCGCGTGCTTGGGATGAGGGCGTTTCCGGAGCCGTTGTCGACTTCCGGGGGGCATACAGTTATTGGCAACAGGCGGAAGACCAGGCTCAACTTGCCTTCGACTGTTTTTTTGCGTGGATCGGCGCGCTGGAAGCGGAGTGGGATCTCACCGATAGTTTTATGAAATTGGGTAGGACCCTTTACTGCAGGCATTCCGGATGCAGCTGATGATGGCATCCGACCCCGGCATCCCGCTCTCCAACATTCGCGCCCGACTTTACACCGCCGTTCAAAAGTTGGGCGTCTTTGCGAGGGCAACCCAGTCTCTCGCGGAACGGCGAGGGGCGCAACGGGCGTTGCGATGTCAATTGTGTCGCATTTATGGACACGACGCGTCTACATGCCACTTCCGCGACGCATCCAGAAGAATTTACTCGAGGCGCCGACGGCCATCAAAAAACGGCGGAGGAGCCGCCCGCCGCCCATGAATGCTGACGACGGCAGCCCCATCCATTCCGCCACCCCCCACCAATCCGCACAGACGTCGCGCCGAACCGCCGACGCTCCATCCGGTAATTCAAATAGCCCGACGCAATCGTCGGGAAGGGCGATGGAGCCTGTCCGCCAACGACGCTCGAATGTGGTACGACGAATCACCGGCAGTTCCGCCTTGGGCCAGCCACCCGAAGAGAGGGAACAAGGTGGCTCGAGAGATGTGGGCGCCGTCAACGTGGGAGCGTGGAATGTCTCTCGCGGGGCAATTCAAGACTTTTTGCCGCACGCAAGGACGCACGATGGACGAGAGCTGTGCGGCCTTTCTGATGGCGATAGTCGACGTGGCGCCATCGACCCGACTGCGGTACGCCAGGATGCTGTGGTAAATGCCGCAAATGAATCCAACCCCGCTGGGCATGATGATTCTGGGGTTACAAAAAATTGCGGCGCGAACGGAGACGAAGCAGGCGCGCCCCTCAACAAAGGAAGAGATGGACGAATATATCCGCCGCCGGACCGATTGGAAGCAACGTGTTTTTTCGACTTGCGTGGATAACGGCGAGTTGTTGGTCCGAGATTGCGGCTGTAACTCCCAACAATTTCACAATGGAGGCGGACGGGGCCTTGATTTTGGACTGGTCCGTGGCGCGAAAGACGGCGAGGTCGCATCCCCACCGTGCTCCGCGGTTCGTCAGGATACGAGGGCAGGACGCGTTAGACACTATAACGTTATGCAGGACACTTCAAGAAAACGAAAAGCTCACGAACCTTACGGCCGCTCACGTGGAACGAGCTCTGGTTCCTTGGAAAGCCACGGCGCATTCCACAAAACGCGGCGCGTTGAGACGCGCGGCTCAAATCGTGGGGACGCACGATTTAGACCTCACACGTGATCTTGCAGTTGGCGAAGCACGTCGGCCCGTTCGAATTTCCCCAGAATACTGTTCGATATTTGGGGAGGTACACCACACTGCTGACCCAGGTGTCGTCGCTGGCCGCATTGATGTAAAGGGAGAAGCCGCGGAAGGGCAGTAACCCTGGTTGAGAGCGGAGGAGCGTTTTTTCCATGATTTTTAATCACTATCATGCTGCTACAATAAAGAGACGCGCCACAAGGACGCGTCTGGCCACTCCACAAGATGAACACGCTATCCCGTTACAGCAAGTCAACGTGCCCGTATTGAACCTAGAGTGGATTAAAACTCGGTTGAACCCGGCAACCTTGGAGAGGCTCATGCAAGCATGGGGACTCGTCGGGCGGTCCCCTTTAACTTTATCCTCCTCCGGTAAAGCGCGCGAAGGCTCACGGAGGATTCCAACCGCTGACGGACGATTATTGAGGGAGGTGGGAATAGTCGAGGACGCTTCGTCCACAATAACAGGCGGATGGATATTATCTTTTTCGGTTGTGGAGGAGAAAACCATCGGCTCACGACGACGATGGATCGCGTGGCCACGCGACAAGAACAGAGACGACCCTTACGAGGCGAATGTTCCTCTTTTACACATTTCCCATTATTTGCCACCTGTGATGGCTGAGGCCGCTTCCTGCCTGGATGTAAGGTCGTCCTTCATAATCTCTTTACCGCGGGAGACTCGGCATCTCTTTCGATGCCGCGTGGAGGACGGCACGCTGGTGGAGCTCACACGACTCCCGGTGGGATACAAGGCGGGCCCAGAAATTCTCCAGATTATTATTACTTCAGCAATTGCGGGGGTGACGACAGTGGTTCACCCCCTCTGGGCTGCACCTCCATTGGTGCGTATCGACGTATGGATCGATAATATACGCATTGCAGGGGTCGAAAAGCGATGTGACGCTGTGGGAGGCCCAAGCGCTTCGTAATGCGGACAGTTGTCGCGCATCGATGGGGGAGGAACGGGAATCGGGCGCTACGCATTACACCTTTCTGGGGTGCAGTTTGATCACACTCACCGTGCGGTATCCCTGAGTGAAAGGTTTGTCCGGTCTTTACGCGCCATGCCGGCGCTCAATTCTTTGACCGTCGCGGGAATGGAGTTATGGCGTCACGTTTTTTGTACGCGGCGGCCATTTTGGGCACGCGTTTATGTGACTACTACTTTTTCATCAAGGCAGTGCGACGACGATTATCGGCATTTCACCAAGGGATTGTGCTGGAGACATCCCCGGCGAACCTACCGCCGTCAGCGGTTGGCTTGGGCGAGAGATTGCGGCACACCATCGAGAACAATCGTCAGCGAATCATCAAGCCCACCGAGAAAGCATCGGCTGCCATCATCACGGACGCATCGCTCCATGGATGGAGAGCCGTTTTTATTCCAGACTCCGGCGACGTTAAAACTGCCTGGAGGAGAAATGGAAGAGAAGCCCTTTCTTATCATGCAGGCCGAGGCACGCGCGGTACGCTTAGCCTTATCGGCCTTTATCGCCATCTTGCCATCCACCATGGACGTTTGGATGGACAACACTTCGCTGCAAGGAGCGGCGAATAAAGGCAGCTCGAAATCGCACGCCACGACGCGGGAGCTGCAACGGATATATGGGTTTTTGGACTCTCGCGGAATACAGATATCCTTTTTCCTACGTATGGCCAGCGTAAAACCCCGCAGACGGCATATCACACGGTCGTGTTTTTACACTTCAGGACTTGGCGAAGGGGTGGTGGTTGCGGAGTCTTGTGGTTGGAGTGCCCCAAATTTGCCGTTCTTTTTTTTTCTACTCTTATCAGCGCGTCTAGCTATACAATGCCATCTGAGTGCCGAAGAGGTGGTCGAGCAACGACAAAAGTTTCCTGCTATGAAGCAACTGCCATTGAGAGAACTTTCCGAGGCGAAGGTCCTGTTCAATGCCCAGCCGTTGACGCACAGCCAAGGCGCCCGGACATTCTAGAAGCAGATGGTGCAAGGTTTCCTGCGGGCCGATTGGCGTGCTTGTGGAAGCTGGCTGATCCTGCGGCAGCAGAGATCGCCTCCTGGCACTGCTGTTTCGATGCCGTGTGGCGTCTGGGTTGTGTGCGCAGCGACTTCTGTGCTGTGCGGTGCTTCTCCGTGTGGGGAAAACCATGTCACAGAAATCACATTTGAGCTCGGGAAGCGGTGGGGGATGTTCCGGATGAAATGACCGACAGTGACTGACGAGACCCGAGAATCCCGTCAATGTGGAATCACAGTGCGGACATTTCTCCTTCCGACGGCGTGTGAGGGTCCGTCTCCTTACTGGAGAGACGTCTTCCTCCCTCGCCGACGGGGGAACAGTGTCCGTCCCCGGTGCGGTTGGATCGTTG